TTCATCCATACTCAGAATACCATGACACGGGGAAGGCTGTATTTGAGCAAAAATGGGCTGGTCTGAGAGTTAAATGAGACTGTAAGTGTTCCCCCAAAGCGTAAGCACCTGGTTTCTGCACAGCCCCCACAAGGCAGTGGCACCACTCATAAGGGCAAGGTGCCCTCAGTAGCGGACTGGGATGCAACATCATCCTATTTCTGATTTTTACCTAAAACTGGGCAAACTAAGACTGAAGTCTAAGATTTGCTCCAAACAAATGGATTGCAACCTGATCATTTTCCACTTGTTTCCACTTTCTGTGTTCTGTTGGCTGCTTCAGAGGATCAGTTCATTCACCCCAGCACCAGGAGAGCCGCAGGCAGTCACAGTGATCCCAGTGACACACAGGGAACTGCTCTGACTGCTCCGACACTGACACTGACAAGCGGTCTTTGTTCCCCTTTTCACAATTAACTGAAGCTGTGCCTCTTACAAATAACAATCTTTCATTTCTTTTACTCCTGTAGCGAACCTAACATTTCCATCAGTACTATTCATAGGTTGGGCAGCCACATAGCTGTGATAATTCCACTTGGACTGTGGGTGGCCTGGGCTGGAGGTTCAAGGTGTGAGCAGGTTGGGTTCAGGAGTTATATTTAGGTTTGCAAGGCTGCAGCCTCGCCTTTGCAAAGTCAACAGAAGTCTCAGTCTTTCAAACATTTATTTAGCTGCTTTACACCGAGGCCAGCCAAATGACTCAGAGCATAACATGAAAAACAGATGCAGACATTAGCAGGAGCTGAGACCCTACCACAGGAAGCAGGCCAGGCTGTGCTGTACACTGTTACCCTGGGTGAGCAGAACAAGGAGCTTTTGCTTCAGGTTGTCTATAGGTCAGGCAGGGAGAGTTCAGTGTTTGGAAAGCTCAAGAGCCTTGGCTGGGTATTCTTATTTAAAAATTAAATTCATTATTAAAAAAGACATATTGCTAAGGTGTAAATGGCAAGAGAAAGAAGTTAAAAATACACGTGGCATCCTATTTTGCATTAGTTATATTTACATTATTTAGTTTCTTTACTGGAGAAACTTCTCAGCAGAATTAGGCTCCAATGAGCAAAAAGATTTCTATTCACACACTAAATATAGCTGCAGTCTTAAAACCAGCACAGTGAACACCTGCTATTCCCCTGCTCGCTGCCTCCCTTCTCACCATACCGTCTGTTTGCGGTATCTCATCCTCTCACGTGTAACTGCCACAGCTTTTAAGTGCTGAGCACCTGTGCCAGCGTCATGTAAGGTGGGCAAAGGGAGCAGGATGTGCAGACACCACAACAAACAGCAAAGCACACCAGCCAGCTTTGTAGAGCAAGTGCCGGGGAGCACCAGGTCTGTGAACTAATGAGCAGCACTGTCTTGTCTTCAAGCAAGGTAATATCTGCTGCTGAATACTCTCCTGCATTAAATTAACACTGGCACCAGTCCTAACACCGACCTTATTCCTCTCATTTGAGGCAGAACAGTACTTGAGCTTACATATCTCAGCACGCTGCAAAATCTATAACATGGCTATAGCATGTTAGTGTTAAATACTAACATTCCCTTTAAAAAGAATACCTGTGGGCTTGGTACTTACTGTGTCCTAAAATTGAAGGCTCTAAGGCTCACCTTCATTGATGTTACAAGCCAAAAGCATCTAAATGACATAAATTTGCCTTAATCCTAGCATTCATCGGACTTTCTTCTATTATGTGCTGCCACTGTAAGGAGAAATAGTCATATTCCCAATTATGTAAATGAACATTATTTATAGGAATGAAGATTTCTTTTCCTTGTATTTCTTATGAAAAATGCCTCTCACCCATTAATTCTGTTTATACCAGTCATGTGAATAATGGAGTCATCAAGACAGCTAACATTTAGTAAGATGTTGGGAATATTTAGAATTGTAGGAGGTGGATTAAGAAGTATTTTCTGTTGTTGTTTTTTGAAAATATGTAAATTTTCTATCTTTAGAATATTTGGCAGAAATTCTCATCTGTAAAAAATGGAAATGTTATCCATTTTTATGTTGTTGTTGAAAAAGGCCAATTTTTAATGCAAGCAGAATTTTCAACAAACGTTTCAGGGAAAAGTTGATGCTATTTGTAAAGAAGAGTTTATTTATTGCTGACATTTTAGAATAATCTGAATTATTATTATAATCTGACTTAAAATGCAAGCTACTATTCTGGTAATTAGTAAACTATAGTGCCAGCATGTTTTTGTCAGCACATCAGCATACTGAATATATTTTTACCTTACATTTTAGTATTCTTTAAGCAATGTGAGGCAAAGCTGGCAATCTCTCCTATTGTCGTGCATATATTTCCTGTTTGAAACAAACCATGAAACTTAACTTCAGCTGCATACTAAGCAGCCAGGGTAAAGCCAGGTTTGAAGAAACAGAGATTGTTTTTTAATTTCCCTAATTGGGTATACTCCACAAGCAGTCACAATACTTTCTTACCAGTGTTTGTATTAACATGATGAATTTCCCTGCGAATAAGTTCCAAATGCAAAGGAATTATCACATTCTTGTAAAAAGATATAAGATCAAAGGGCTGAGCAGGTTGCTCAAAGCATTGTGAAGCTGAATGTATGAGTTGAGAATGAGCACTGCAGGTAACGGATGGTTTGCCTCTGTCTTCTTGGAGAATGGTCTTAGCCACTAACCCATTGCCTTTCCATGTTGTATTGACTTTATTTAACAAAAATGCAGATCATGTGTTACCAGTGTGCATGTACTGCATTGCAAAAGTGAATTTACCATGAAATTCGTTTCAAACAGGGAGAAAAACAGATGTCATTTTTCCCAGTAGTGATTTTTTAAGCCCTTATAGGCACAGCTTTTCCAATGACTTCAGTGGGAGCTGCTAAACCTGGGAGTACTGCAGAGGCTGACCCACAAGGTGTCCCCGACAGTAGCCTCATGTCAGTTAACTCTTGCTGAGCATTTTCTGAACCACCCACAATATTTTACAATTACATTCCTCAGGGGATATTTTTTCATTGTTGGCCATAGTTTACAAGTAGTTTTACCCTCCTTGTTCTCTTGACACTGTCTTTTATGCTCCCTCTGAAATACTTGGAGCTACACCGTGCTCTTTTTTCTCCACTGTGACCAGAAAATGTATTTTGTTTTTTGTCTTGCAATAAAGAAAATTCAGTGCAAGTAAACACAAAGACTTGAGCTGATCCTGGAGAATATGAGCTCAATCCTACCCTGGTGCTGTACTTCCCTGAACATACACTCCTGAACAAGTGACTAAAGTTTATAATGCAACGTATTGGGTCAAAATTATAATATATTATACAACATACAACTTACTTGGGGAATGAAGCTACCACCATCTCATGAATAATTCTTTATTTAAGAAAACAGTTCTGACTTGAAAAAAGCTAATGATGAGTAACAGCTATTCATACAGTTAGTCAGGGAAGGTGTGAATGCATCTGGCTGGCATTCAGCTAGAGTCAGAATTTGGGATGGGCTCACTGCTTGTACTTATCTCTGATACAGTCTTTATCTGTGGCTATGATATACTGCAGGAAGGTAAGCAGTTGTCTTATATTGAATTGCTATTGCTGTTCAGTACTGTACATTCTGCAAATTACATGCAGTCTTATTCTGCTGTGATTGATAAACTGAATAGAAGGTGTAACTATCAGTGGTGGCAAATCTCCTAACATAATATTATTAAGAAACTATTAAAGATAACAGGAATATCATCAATTTGGACTGTGCCAGTCTTCTAAGTCAACTTTATATCAACTGTCAGGTGTTAACAACAAACAGGACTGAAATTTTAGTAAACAAATGTTAGCAATAAGATGAGTACAGTGGGAAAGAAAAGGAACTAATTGTCTAAAACACACAAGCCTGACACAAGAGCATGGGGAAAGTCACGGTCTTCAAGGATGCAGTAGCACTTCTATAGGCATTTCTGCCTATAAGGGAAACTGCTGCTGAGAGCTCAGCACCTTCCTAGGTGAGCTAACGGTAACTCACAGCCTGCATACTATGTTGTGAGTGAGATTCATGGATTCATTTCCCAACAAAACATTGGATTTAGTCATAGCTCTTGAATTCTAGGCACTGTTGTGGTGTATAGGAAGTCACACACCCCATCACTGGCTCCTTTCAAGCAGACCAGGCTGCTCTACAAGGCCTTCACAGCCACATGGGAGGTTTCAGCAGTGGTTTAAGCATGAACCTGTCCAGTTCACAGTTTCCCTCACTGTTCTGATGCTGTCTCCATGCTGGCACTTCCTCCTACCATGCTACAGGGAAGTACTTTTCAGCTCTGCTGCCTCTCATGGCCTCAGGCAGTGCAGGAGCCTTTGATCCATGTTTGTTCTGCTACCACAGTGATACTTGTGGGATGCTGCAGAACACTAACGCAAGCTTGATGCGGCAGATTTCCTGCTAGCACAAATTCCTGTGGAATCCAGCCAAGCTATGACTGCTTGCTTTGCACAAATAGTCTGTTGTTTGGCACCACTCCATGCAGAGCTGCCTAGTAGTGGCAGTGGCGGCTGAGCCAGGAGCCTGTATCTGACCCTTGGTTGGGGAACATGTTGTCATAGGCAAGGGCGTCTCACTAGGAAAACAGCCCTCACAATAGAAGGAAATATCTGCCAGAAAGGAGAAAAGGGAGCTGGTCCAGGGCAGGAGCGCCTGTGTGATTGTCGGACACCTGGACTTGGCTCCCCATCACACTGACTGTGTGGCTTGGAGCAAGGCGTCCAACATTCGAGTCCCTTTGGCACTTTCTCATAAGTTTCAGCAGGAGCTCAGGCAGCCAGAAGGAGGTGGGAGCCGAGGCTGACTTGGTGCATCTCTCCTAAATTTCATTGCAGCTCAATCTTAAATGCAGGAACTTGGATGTTACCTGCCTCCTGGGTCTTCAGTAAAGGTAACAGCACAAAATGTAATAATTTTTTAAGAACTTTATATTAGTGATAAATAAATATCTTACGGTGTGCAATTGGCTCTCTTTGGCACTGTAAAAGCTCCACTGGATGAAGAAGTTTCCCAGCGGCTGAGAACTCGTGTAGGTGCAGAGAAGGGTTGCGTTCCCACCGCTCTTGACGTTCACTGTCTTCTCAGGAACAGTCACTACAACTCCGTGGACGTGACCTGTGGGCAGTGAGCACATGAGCAGTCAGTCAGCAGTGGGGCAGCCTGGGCGCTGCATGGAGGGCCCTGCTGTGCCAAAGGAACCTGGAGGTGTTTGTCACTCTGCTTTTAGTACAGCTCCCGTTGGGCTTGCTGGGCATATATCAGCGATAGCAAGCCCCCTTAAAACAAATACTGTTTTGGCAAAGCACAAAGCAGGCTTGCTCCCACCTGCACACACTTGTCTTCTCACTGGCAGCCTCCCTGCGCTCAGCACTCTCCTGAACCTGACGCTCTCGTTCACAGCTGTCCCTAGGCCTCCTGTACACCTTTCTTGCCTTCTTTTTTTGCACTTATTCATCAGATATCTGATCTTTATTCATGGCTCACCATCTGCTACCTTCTTCTTGTGTTCTTACATTGACTCTAACTCGGTGGCACTGTTGGGTTCCCCCAGGCTGTAGCCCAGCAGCTTTCCTCTATTTGCCTTTTGATATTTCCTTTGAATCATAGACTCATTAAAAATGGAAAAGACCAGAAAGATCATCCAGTCCAACCAGCAACCCATCCTCACATGCCCACTAACCACATCCTCAGTGCCACATCAACCCTCTTCTTGATCACCTCCAGAGACGGTGACTCTACCACCTCCCTGAGCAGCCTGTTCCAATGAATCACCACTCTTTCTGAGAAGAATTTTTTCCTAATATTTAACCTAAACCTCCCCTGGTGTAAATGAAGGCTGTTACGTCTTGTCCTATTGCTGTTGCTGGGGATAATAGGCTGACTTCCACCTCACCACAACCTCCTTTGCTTTTGTTTAGGTTTCTTACGGCTTCCTTGCAGAAGCCCTTTGTTTTCCAATATATTCATATTGCAAATTTCAAACTGAGCTTTTTTGGAAATGCTTTTATCATGTGAGTTGTGAGAAATTCTCTGGTAACCTGATCAACCTTTTCTGTCATTCTCTAAACAGAAAAGGACCAAACATAATTGATGAACTCTTTTCTGTAATGTTCTCATCAGTCTTGGCTACAGAGCTGTGTTAATGACAGGAACTGAGTGATGTTCTACAGTATTTATCTGTTTCTGTCCTCTGTTCAAGTTACTAGAAATGGTGACATATGGCAACAAAGCTAGAGCTGTCAGTTAAAATTGAAGTCTGAATGTTAGGTCTTTGCTGGATGGCTGAGTCCAGTTTTAGAGCTACTGTCTGGAGATTCTGAAGGAGAATATGTTCTGGACATGGTGGAAAATATATGTATTTGGTGCTTTTCCTGGTACAGTGGGCAAGGTGAGAAATTCATGTTGGCTAATTTTGGTGTAAGCATATTGTATATGCCAGTGATAAAGGCAAAACATAGACAACAGCCTTCTCGTAATGGAATATCTGTGCATTTAATGTTAGGGTACTGCTTCTGAGAGTTTAAGCAGAACCTTCAGCAACATCAAAAAAATACTTTACTCAAATTATCACCCATATGAGAAAAAACAGTGTAAGAAAGGAGGGTTTTTGTTTGTTTGTTTGTTTGTTTTTCATTTTTAACCATGGAAATATCGCAGATTCATCAGCTCCTGCAATATGCAAGCCTACCTCTACCTAGAGTCTGAATTCTTCGGGTCTGATTTCCTTGTTTGCTGGATCAAGTGTTAAAAGTTCACTGGAAAGAAGTCAGTAATCTACTTTCCATGGCAGGTGGCTAGGAGGAAAACTAGCAGGCTTAAACTGCAGCAACATTTACATTATATACGAAGACAGCCTCACAGGAGTGGTTACAGACTGATTTAAATCAGAGTGGATCCTGCCTTGGAGAAGGAGGGGATCCCAGTGCTTTCTCCAAGTCCTTCTTGTCATGTGAGTTCACAATACCTTAATCCTTACTATAATCTAATATGAAAGCCATACGGTATTATTTTAGATGTCTCAGCTCATTGATCTTGGCTTTAACAATTGGAGTCAGACAGAAGATAATGGTTTCTTGCCACAATAATACTTGCAGTTACATGCATTTACTTTCTGTTCTTCATTGTAAAAGAGCTGTTGTCTTTCCACACAATGGCATTCTACTTAAAACTTCAATTTTCCGGTCATCTGCCTTTATCACTCTGATTCTGGAACCAAGAGTGCTACAGAGACCGGATATTTTCCAGGAGAAGTTAACAGAAGTGACTCCAGCTTCCATAAAGCTGCATGTTTTGAATAACCACATACGGCTTGCTTAGTTCTAGTAAACATATAAGGCCAAAACCAATAAAACTTTCTTTGTCCAGCAAGGTTGTGAAATGCCACCACTAATTCTAAGATGGTGCTTGTGACTGAAAATGGAGCAAACTGGACCTGCCCAGCCTGTTCTACATTGCAGAAGTTAATGAGAATTTGTCTTCATGTTTAATCCACTGTTTCAAATTTATAATCCCATTTCATACATACAGGCCTTTTGATTGCAATGAAAAAAGGCCGTGAGTAAGAAGTTACACATTACAAAAGGCAAGTGAGAGCAGGGCATAACTTATTGTTAAAAAGAGTTGGTCTGTGTCTTTTACTCAACATTACTGTGAGAGTATTTCCTTGTTAAAGAAAAGTGGCTGCTGTTAATTGAGAATCATTCACTTTCATTGCAGACCCATGCAGTTCTTAATGTTAACAAAGCAAATACCAGATTGCTGATTTTTTCCTGACTGCTACAGAAACCCTGTCAGTGATTTCCCTTGCTACAGCACAGACCACATTGTCTGGCAAAGTATTTGTACTAGTGCTGAATTTCTCTTCATTTTTAAGGCAAAAATCTGTGGGGCTTGCATGTGAGAGTGATAGCACTGAAACACCACAAGCAACCATTTAAAATGTTTATTTGGCTTCGAAATAGATAATTCCATCTTGAAAAGAAACCGTGGACACTAACTTCTAATTTTTTTAGTGAAATTGGAGGCTGTTCATCTCCATGGAGCATCAGATTTAAAATGTCCACCTCTGTATATATTAAAAATAGAGCTTAGCCCAATACATTGTCTTTGAAACAGTAATAAAATACCATCTTTAGTGTACCATATAGTTCCTAGATTCCACATGGTATTATATCCTCACTTACTTAACTTCATGGAATTCCAAAGGATTATTTGCATGCTTAAGTTAAGCATCCCCCAAAAAGTTCTAAATGGGGTGGATACAAGGCATCATTTCCCAGCATATTGGGAAATGGGAGACAAAAGCCCAGTGTGAGAAAGCCAACCATGAAGGACCCAAGTGCTGTGTGTGTGAGCCCTTTGTCTCTTCTCAGCTCTAAAGCAAAGTATTAGTTTACCAAAGCTAAAATTCCATGCTTGAGCAAAAAATTATTACCAGCTAGGGGTCAGCCTGCTGATTTCCACAAAATGACGTCAGTGTAGCCATGATCTTCATTACATCTAGAAGTAAGTCCTGAATGTTCTCCTAGTTTGCCAGTCAGGGTCACCTGCTGTCTTACTGCAGCAAGTTCTTTTACTTCAGCATTATTTCAATTAGTTTGTTATTCTTACCTGCAAGGGTGGCTAGAACTGGAAATATCTTCAGCATCGTTGGAAACATCTTCTTGACGTTTGGAGAGAAAAGAGACCAGACGCAGCTTCTGGCTTCAACTAAAACTCATCTGTGTGGATTTTTTTTTTCAAGTGGCTTTTTGTTTTTCTTATCAGCTATGTATCAGCACGTCAGCGAGTTTTTTCATTCTCCTTTATCGCATGTATGCCTTTCTCCGACTAGTGGTGTGATTGTTCAGTTGAAAGCACTTTGTGGGGTGAAAGCAAATGAGTGTTTTGTTAATAATAAACCTTTGAATCTGAGAAGCCCTGATGCTCCCACCTATACCTACTATGCCAGCAGTATTTGCCCACGTAAGTACTCCTGCTGAGCACAACAAAAGAACTTGTAGAGCTACATCTGATTACCAGCATTGCCAGTGGTCAGTTGGATTACCAGCATTGGAGTCATGCCTTGTATGAGTATGGAATAATCTTTATTTCCTGTTAATTCTGTCACATATTTTTGTAAAATGGGCAGCTGAAGATAATACTTTGTTAGTACATTTCCATTTTTAGAAGTATTTCTCATACAGTTTCATACAGAATGATTACATTGGACTTATGATTGCCCTGAAACTCCTGTACTGAATTCACCAAAAAGATAACACACCAAAATAAATAAATATTTATATTTATATACATATTTATATAAAATAAAGGTAAAGCAAAACACAGTCTGTCTTCTAAACAAACATTGCAGTTGGTTTCATCTGGTTTTAATCCTTGAAACTGGATGTTACTAATACAAATGACAAAGTGAATATATTGATTTTTATTTAAATCTTAATATCTGATATATGTAGTAAAAAAGCAGTGGATGAAGGTTAGAAATAATTACAATAACTTACAGCAGATTAGTTTGCCCTTAGTGAATGCAGAATACCTCGTCCAGTTGTCTAAAGCTCGTGAAGAATACAGGGTGCTTGGAGAAGGCTGCTCTGCTTTCTTCGTTCCATCTCATTTGATTGAAGCTGATTCAATGCCTGGGATGGGAGTAGCTGGTTGTGCATGTGCAGCCACATGAAGACATAACAGAGGGCAGCATTGCCTTTTAGATGTATTCCTGTACCTGCATGACCAAGACAATGAAAATACCCTGAGACTTATTTCTGTGCTTGGTGGAAAAATGGACCAACCTTTCTATGGCAGGGACCATGCTGCAGAAGGGAATGCCCCTTTGGCACGTGGGGCTCAGGCTCTGAATGTGTGCAGTGGGATGGCTGGGTATTTCTGTGCTCACCCTTATCTTTGATGTGATGTGATGTGGTGGTAGGTTCTTCGTGATAGAAGTGGTTAGTTGCTTATTGGTCAGTTATCACTGGGCTCAGGCTTATGGAATTAGGTGAATTTTATTCTTTCTGGTGGCAGATCCCTTCTGTGGATGGCAGATCCCTGAATAACTCTATATAGATGTCAGAGTTTGATTGTATTTTTATATGAACCATCTCAAAAAGTTTCATGAAAGATGCCTTTTCCTTAGCTCTGTCAGTGCTTCTTTTAGTGTCCCCATAGGATAGGCAGCACATGCCAGTTTGTGACAAGGAAAACGGGACTTGGAACAGCTTCATGCCTTGCCATGGATGCACAGGAGATACAGTGTCTAGAGAGGAATGTGTAAATTCAAAGACTGAATATCAAATTCAGGTTTCTTCCAAATGTGAACAGTGTTTAGACTGACCTTCTGTAAGGAAGTATGAAGGCATCCCAAAGGCACCTGGAGTTCTCAGTGGGTTAGCCAGCATCAGGCTGAAATGGAACTGCTGCTGTCTTCTACTCAATGAGCCACAGAAACTGGCTGTGAGTGTGGCCACACTGCAACAGCCTGTGGCAACTCTGTAGTATGCACAAGCTCTCACTAGACAGAGCATTGATCCTTTGCAAAACCAGTAATTTTTAAGAAGGTGCACAAAACGTTGCCACCCAGCTGCAGGTCAGCACACCTGCGTCATCCTGTGCCTTTTACCACAATGTCAACGTGTCCCCTGGTTCCCCCTTCATTTATCAACACTGTCCTTTGTCTAGTGCTTAAAGCACTCTCAGCTACTATATATTTTCTCCCTGTTAAGCTCCCTTTTTATGAATTAAATCTCTAGAAGATGCCAGCTACATTCCTGGAGGGTGACATGCTCGGTGTGAGCAGAGGCCTGGAGCCAACAATGCAATGTCTGTGCTGCTACGTGCCCAGCAAGGCCTGGGCTGCGGGCCCGAGATGGCTGCTTCTGGAGCAGCGTACCTCCTAGTGAACGAGTACACCCCTCCATCCTGTTTTACAGAGGATGCTGAAGACCATTTGCATTCACTTTTGGCAGTTAGCAGCCTGAGGCTCATTTCACACCGTCAGGTTGGAAGTGTGTATCCTCATGTGCAACTTGCAAGCTACCCGGGATTATGCTGCTGTGAGGGAAGCAGGAGGGGCCTGTCAGCTGCTGCTTGTGTCTGGCTCAGTGCTGCTGGAGCAGTTCTGCCTGCCCAAATGCAACCTTAGGAGAAGAACAGAATGTAGAAAGCAAAATTTCCTTTGGCCTGATTGCAGCTGAAGTGACGGGATGATGTGGAAGCTTTTGTCACACTGCAGGCTGTCGGCCCAGAGCACAGCAGCAGCAGTCACTTTGCCACAGGTGGAGCAAAGACTCTTATCTTGAGATAAAATGGAGGGGGCTGGTACCAGGAACTATGTGTTAACAGACTTCATGACTCAAATCTATGTACACTGCAATGTTCCCTTCCAAGCAACTCCCTTGTACTCACTCTATAAACAGAAGTGGTGGTCATTTGAAAAATGGAGCCCAGCAGCACACCTGGGAAAAGCAGCAAGCCTCTCGAAGCTGCATCGCCTACACAGGCACTTAGATGGCTCTTAGGTGTTGTTTCTATTCCAATACCCAATTTAAAAAATTCCCGTAGAGTCCCGCCTTTAACTTGACTAATCTCAGCAGCACATCAAGCACGTGGTGTTTCTGAAACATGCTAAATGCATCATTGTTCAACAACACCAAATCCAGCAGAATGGGGTGCACAAAGCTCCCTGCTTCAACATCACATCTGGTTGCTGGAGATGCAGAGAATGTAATCAAAGATTTAAACAAGTACAGTACAAGAGCCACCTTTAGCCTCTAAGTCCATCATTAGGTTGACTTTCAAATGCACTTTATAGCTTTCTTGCTTATTACACAGCCCCATTTGTTGTCTAAAAAGTATTTATAAACTGTGTTTGCTGGAGTGTTTGGTGCCTAAAAGAGAGTTCAGGAATCCACTGTTACTTTCAGGCACTCGGAGAGCATTGAAGGTCTTGAACAGGACCACATATAGAAGCAGAACCCCACATCAAACTGAACCCGATACCACCTGCAACACATATCCCAGCATCATGCAGAACAGTTGAATGCAAACGCTTTGATTTTTTTCACCTTGGGCTCATTCTTGGCTGAGTTATACTTTCCCCTGAGTTCACCAGCCTGGGAAATAACTGGATCACCCTTAGGGCTGCTTTATTCTCCTGCTTCCAGGCACAGCTGAGCACTGCCTCCCTGCCTGACTTTCTCCCAGTGTTCATTCTTTTTGGTTTGTTCCAGGTACCTGTTTTCTGGAGGAATCAGTGTGTGTGGGTGAAGCTGCTCCCACATCTGCAGCTTCCCTGGGAGCACACCAGCTGCTCCTGGTGCTGCAGTGTGGCTGCCCTCTGAGGGACCTGAATTCAGTGAGACTGCATGGCCTTCTCTTTGCAAGAGGTGGAAATACAAATCCTGTATGCCATTAATTATGTATCAGTGGCTGTACAGCTCCTTGCCCCTTCTCGTTGTGAGTTCTGGGGACCCCAGCAGCCTGTTTTCTGCTCCCCCCTGGCTCTGGGGTGGTGGGATGAGGCAGAGTGCTTGCCTGGGCCCTCTCTGGGTATGGATTCCCTGAAGCTGGACAGTGCTTTGGAAGTGCTGCACAACATGAAGGTGAACAAGCTCATGGAATGTGAGCTTTGCTTGCTTAGCACCTGGTTTTGATGCAGCTTTTCCTTTTGGTTCCCAGGAGCATCATGCTGGGAGAAGGGTGCTTGTTTGGTTGAATTTAATTTTCAGAGAATGATATGATGCTTCCTATTCAGTTTTGTTAATAATCACATTATAGCTTTCTTAATTATCTTAATTACACTGAATATGACAGAATACAATGGTGCCATGTGATAAAGCTGTCTGACAGAAGATCAACTGGCCTGGATAGACAGACTGTGCAGAAGACTGACAGAGAATAAACTTAAGAATATTTTTATCATGTCTTTCATTTTCTGGAAGTTCACCATCTCAGGGCTCAAGACTTGGATCCTGTAGCCCAGCAGCTTTGCTGTACAGCATGCACTAGCAGTTCAAATTCCTTGCAAGCACTTGTTATCTTTTGATGGTCAAGTAGGCAGTGAGTTTGCAAACTGGGGGGAAGTAATGAAAAATGAGGCTGTCAGCAGCCGGTATGTCATGGGAGCAGCAAGGAGAGCAAGCAGTCAGTGACCTCATCTGAAAAACACATGAATGTTAATGGTGTGCAGGGCGTAACCTTTGCATAGCAGCTGTCTCACCCAGTGCCACACAGCAGTGTGATTCTAATGAACTATAAAAGCAGTGAGCACGGCTATGTCCCTGTCCCACCCTTCCTCACAGCAGTAGGATTTGCAGCCCAACAAACACATGCTGTCAGTAAAGAAAGCACTGATCCATGGCCATAGCTGAGGCTCAGTGCACATCACTGCTGGCCTTGTGCTGCAAGTCCTCTGACACAGAGTGTTTGGGTCGTGCTGCCTGCAGCCAGGCTGTGTCCCATGCCGACACCTCTTCGCTCTTGCTTTTCTGTAATTAGTAAGTGAATTAGTAAATCAGTAAAGTGAAATGTTCTTGGAGCCTTTTTGAAATATCAAGGAGCTTCTAATTCAGTAAGCAAACAGGCCCCAGAAAGAAATATTTCATGGCCTTATTTCACCCATACTACTGATGTGATTGGCATTTAACAAGCACCGACTCTTCATTCTGCCCTGACACCCAGGTGAATGCTGTAAGTCCACTCAGCATCCCTTCAGTCACTGTCTGTCCATCTCTACAAAAAGCTTGTTTCCACTTTGCTGTGATTTTTGGGAGTTAGGTCATTCCCCAGGGGACAACTGATCCATAGCAGATAGATTATAGTGGTTGTATATTGCTAACACTAATTATATATAATTAAAGTGACTTCCTGGGACAGCAAGACCTTAACCAAGCAAACCATCATCTGCTGTCTTGGTTTCAATCTTTCGACATCTGCAGGACTGCACAGGCACTGAAGGCAGGTGCTGAGCACAGGGCTGTGGAAAGCTGCTACGTAACCAGAGTGCTTCATCGTGTAACGTGTTGCATGGGGAGGACACTGACCTAAGATGCACCAAGACTGTCAAATTTATCATCAGCCTTGAGATGATGTTTTCTCCTAACTCTCTAGCTCCCGGCATGGTGGTGGTGAATAATATCATGAATAGTCAGTTTGTATTTACTTTTTCCTTGAGGAAAGGATCCTTTTAGTTGCATGAAAAAAAATCTCAATATGGTTCCAAATATACCTAAAAGAACAAAAAGCAGAAAACAAATTAACTAGGTACATATTTTTTATATATTTTTAAAAATATTTCAGAAAACTTTGGGGGTATTTTTATGGCTCTGTTCAGTTTTTTGACTGTTTGGAATGGCCAATCATCAATGCAGTTCCTAGGAAGGATGCTCCATCCCTGGAGGCATTCAAGGCCAGGCTGGATGTAGCTCTGGGCAGCCTGGTCTTGTGGTTGGCAGCCCTGCACATAGCAGGGGGGTTGAAATTAGATGATCATTGTGGTCCTTTTCAACCCAGCCCATTCTATGATTCTAAGGATCAAAAAAGATAGCACCTTTTTGCAATACGGGCTGTAAAGCCAACCAGAATAATGCCTCTTCCCAATCTTTCTATTTCAACATTGTATTAACAGTAATAATAATAGTATATCTGATAGCTAGCTGATAACTTGTAATAAGAAATGTATTTAAGTAATATAATCTCATTTGCTGTTCAAATATTGTTTGTGGGCTACTTTTCTTTTTTGAAATGTTTCTGCTTTTGAAATATGAGCTGACCAAATGGGTAGGTGTAGTACAGTGGGAGGGACTGGCTCTTGACACCTATTAAGAACTTGCTTAATTTGGATTGCACACAACTCCATGGGCCTTAAAAGCATTATCCCTCATTGTAGCAGCTTAATTTGCACTTGCAAAGAATGCACAGCAAATGTTTCCTATTTCCTTAGAAAATGCTATTTCTGTTTGCTGGACCTTCATTGTGTGCTGCATCTTGTGCTGGAGCACAGTTCCATATTGCTAAGCAACACTGCTGCTTAGATTTCTTATTTCCTTCTCTTTTGAAAGCCCATAGCAGCACACTTGCACTTCTCATGGCTTCTTGCAGATATGGAGGGAGTGTGCAGTGCATCCATAGAGCAAGGATGGGACACCACAGGGAAGGGGTGTCAGGCAGTGGCACTTCACCATCCACAAAACGTTTTTCTTGTCTGAAATAGGAAAACGCTTGCTAACTGCCTCTCTTGAATCTGTCACCTTCTGCTCCTTGTTGTCTCAATGCTAGTAGGAGCTAGGCTACTGCATGTGTTGGAAGCCAGAGAACAGATTTCTCAAGATATTTTTGCTATTGGCACTGCATTTCTGGCCTGAAATTATGGTTCTTCAGTTTGGCACAGCAAACCTGGAGTGACAGCAGAGTTCAGAGGAGCTGCATAGTGTTTCCTTTTCAGTAGTGAGTTCACTCTGCTGTACATTGCCTGCAGCCTAAACATGCATGGCCGCAGATAAATACATTGCCTCCAGAGCAGTATGTCTGTACAGGATCAGTGCTATTCCATTTTGTGCATATCTAAACTTTGTCATTTCCTCTGCTAACACTGATCGGTGCCAGTCTTCATGTGTGGTTAAAGGTCTCAGGCTTCAAGATATCCTTTCCAGAAGGATTTTCCTTGCCTGCTTTTCCTGCCAGGCTTTATTTTTTGGTCATTGGGATGAAAGAAACCTTAAAACCCACCTGGCCACGTTGTCTCAGCCCCTCACATGGTTGGTGAATGAATGTGAAGCAGTGCAGTAAGGAAATGCATAGTGCTCCTCACCTCACAGATGGAGCCACTCAGCCCAACAGGTATTCCTCCCTTTTCTACAAGAAAATCATCCCTTGGCAGCAGCTCCTGCCTGCAGGTGTGGGTCAGGGCAGTGCCCCAGCTGTGCCTGGGGCTGCAGCTGCACCTGCTTTGAAATCCTGCTGTTGCTGGCAGGTGGGAGGAATGTGGACCTATGAAAAACTGTTGTTTTTGTGATTAGTGGGTGATCAGCAACAACTTTCCATGTGACTGGGGCCACGTGGTTTATAAGCCTCTCAGAAGGTCCCCTGCAGCATGAGCCTATATCTTTTAAAACGGTTATTGAATGGAAGAGAGAAATATCATACAATACTAACAGCTGATCCAGACAGCATCAAAAATCCTCTGTAGCTTTTGCTGCTAACCAACACAGATTTATACATTACTCTGGAAAGGATACAGAGCCTCAGTTTTTGATTAAAACAACTTGGTGAACATCAGTGAAAACTGAGGTCTATAGTGCCAAATCAAATTTTAAAAGGCAGGTTTTTAGCTGGTTTAAACTAAATGGGCTCCATGTAGCTTCAGTGGACCTGCCCTAGATTTCTCTTGCTGGATTATAGCTGTGATGTGACTTTCCCTCTCTAACCAAGATATACAACAGGCTTGCAGGGGATTGGTCTGAGGAGACACATTGCTATTCTGTACCTGTTCAGTCCCAGACTTGCAGATGCAAGCAGATCCTGCTCAGATGCTTGATATTGCTTTTTTTTGGACTCTGATGTTAAGTTTATGGCTCGCTGGTGGAATGTCTGCAGTAAGGGATGGGGAAATTGTATCTCTTTCTTTATTCTGGCTACAAGCTAAAATTTTAACACCCAGTAATTCAAGCGGAGAGCCAGTTTGCTCTCAAAATAATATTTTTGTGGCAAGACAGTGGGAAGTGAACAGCATCACTCACACACGCTCCCAATAATTGTAGTACTGCAGTTAAGTAGCTAAGGAGGAACGTTGCAGAGATCCACCAAGGTAGCAAAAACCTGAATGATATACCCCAGTGAAACGCTAGTGATTTTTGTCATGCTTCCACATTTAGTTCCTCTAACACCAAAATGAATCATGGAGAAATGCCGAGAGCATTAATCACACCGCTCTATAGTTTTCAGCTATCTTTTGGCAGCCTTCTGAAAGTCACAGCTAAAAATACTGAAAACACTCCAGGCCTAATGAGAGTCGAGTTAAGAAAAAGGATTGCATGGAAACAAAAAGACTGAGAGGGAAGAGCTGTGCCTTGGCTGAGCTCGCTGAGGTTCAGACGTAGGTGAGATAACAACAGGAACGTTTGGCTGAGCTGAAGGTGCACCCAATCTACAAAGGAGCCAGCTGAAGCTGTGTAGATCTTAGGAACATTCTTCTCTTACTGGAACACAAATGAGCAAACTTTTGTCATTTCAACTATGGCACAAGAGGCAGAAGCAGCCCAGAGACAGATCTCTGGCAGAGCCGTAGTGCCTGAAGTTTACTGCAGAAGCACAGGTGCCTTGAGACAAGCTCAGCACTGTTTTAAACCAACTGAGGGCTTAAAGAGCCCTGCATCCTCACTTCTCCCTGCTGAGGCCACCACATGACCCAGCCCATCCTGCAGAGTTGGGTGCTTCTTTCCCAATGGCATTCCATGCAGTGGGGCAGTGCTGTCCTAACATGAACCCCAGGGCTGCAGGGGCCATGCATGGGAGTGCCAGACAATCACAAAGGATGGTCCTACTGTTTGACATGGCTTCTGCCACTTGTTCTCGTGAAAACTTTGAAAGACTGAAAGTGAGAAAAGCATAGGAGCAGCTGGCTGCAATAATAATGTCTTTTCCCTGCATTTTGCAGGCTGTTGTGGAGTTGTTCCCATGTGACTGTATTTACTCACTTCAAGGTGCCATATTTTGCCGTAACCGAGCAGGGCTGGTCAGTAATCAAACCTTTATAAACTATTGCTTTTTTTATCCACTCACTGTGCACTTGCTACTCGCCAGCATCCAGAAATCCATGCACGCAGTGATGTTTGGAGGCCCTATAAGGCTGTCACTGCTTGTTTCTTGCACATTGCAGGATTATTATTTTATACTCACTGTAGGGCACAGGCTGTAATGCCGTGGGGTTAAGGTTTAAGGCTAAAATCCAGGCTGTAAATCCAAGCTGTGTTGTACCCCACCAAATTATCATACCTCAGTTCTACCTGCAGTTGCCAAATCCCACAGCCAGAGCTCCTGAGTGACCACAGCTCTGCTTGCCCAAGAAGGAGGACACGTACAGCTGCCATTATACCTATCTCAGTTAATTGAGACTGCTAAATGACAGCTGGCATTGCAGATAATCAGCGTTTACAGCAGGAAAACAAACTCTCCAGTGCAAATATTCCCATAGCCTGAAGCTTTATTATCACTCTTAGAAAAAAAAAGAAAGAAAGCAAGCAAGCTTAATCCCTTTACACAGAAGCTGGGCTCCTTATGTAGCAACCAGCGCTTCGCACGGACTGAGCGCACGTGTGAACGCAGCACCCGCTCCGCGTGGCCCCGCCTCCACCCGGCACATGGACACGCCCCTTTCCCGAAGCCACGCCTTCTCGAAGCCACACCCCCTCTCGGAGCCACGCCTCCAGGGGCGGCAGCGAGGTCCCCCCCCCCTCGCGGGTGCGGAGGTCCGTGCGGTGGCTCCCAGCTGTCTCCCGTTTGAGGTATCGCTCCCTGCTGCCCTCCCTGCTCCCCCTCCGCCGGCTGCGCCCGGGACCTTCCGGGTCCGCCAAGCCGCCCCCCGCTTGACGCCGTGTGCCGCAGGTGGGAGCCCGCCGAGCTGCTGCTGCTTCCCCACCGCTTCTCCTGCGTCCGCGTCCCGCAGCTCTCCTCCGCTCCGGCTCCACGGACTTCCTTATTTGCGTCTCGTTGTTGCCAGCAGCCGACATAACCGCGGGGCTGCGTTTCTGGGGGGCCGCTCCCTTTGCCCACAGCTCCTGGCTGTGCCGGGCGCTGTTGCGGGCGCTGCGCCGTTTCTACTTCGTTCCCGTCTCCTTTCGTTGCAGCGCACGGCTGCCAGCAGCGGCTCGCAGTGAGCTGCCCTCCCCAGCCTCGGCGCGGACGGCCCTGTCCCGGTCCGGGCTGCGGGTGGCGCTGCTGGGGGCCGTGGGGCCGAGCGGTCCCCCACTCAGCAGAACATCCGAGCCGCTCCACGTGGGAGCCTTACGCTGTGCTGGGTTTTTCTTGCCGGCAGCATCGCGTACTGAGGTCTGGCAGAAGGTTGCCACGGCTTATATAAATACTCCTAACTCATATAGACCTTGAGCGTCTTGACATAAGGCAGCGTTTCTCAGCTGATCTTGTTACTCTTACCTGGGAAGCTGCCTTCCTCGCCTCATTGCAAGTTGAGTGGGTGTTCGTGTAGCAGCACAGGTGGCAGAAACACCTTGTGTGTGTAAGAAGATGGTATCAGATGATCATATGAAGCTGATTTTATTTTTAGTGATTTAATTAAATCTGTGCAGTCTGTGTTTGGATTTCTTGTTTGAATTTACCTGAACTTCTCTCGAGCTAGATTAAATGACAGATTTCCATATGCAGATTTGTGCTACTTCAAGTACATCTGTCTGTAATCACACCTGCAGTCAGTGAGTTTCACGTAACTTTTCCCTATCCTCATGTCTGTGCATCACCCTTTGCTGGGAGTGCATAAACACGAGATCTTTCGCGTAACTGTGAGCACAGACAGTAGAATCAGGTGTTTGGGTTTTTTTTTTTCTTGTTCTGAATGACAAGAGTTTCCAAATATATTTCATATCCCACTCAAGTTATCTAGCTTGAGCACATACATGGCTCCAGTGTCTGAATTTGTGCCTGAGCCTGTGTTAGCACTGGAAAGTTGCATTATTCCTGGAAGAAAATCAGCCAATCTATTTTTTCTCTTGCAAAAAGGTCTGTGACAGAAGGTGTAGGTGCAGCTTCAGTAATGGAATTGCTCTCCCTAGAGTTCCTTTTCAGTGTCTCGTGTTCACAGAGCAAACCTGCAGGTGGGAGCACTGCGTGTCTCTGTACTCAGCCAGGAACAGCACAGCCCAGTCCAGGCCTCAGCTCAGTTTGGAAATCCAGAGGTGATAGAGTGTGGTGTGGTGTGTGGGTGGTGGATCAGACACGGTCGTGAGCTTTATTTTTTCTCTCATGATGTGGAGCTGACCTCAGAATCTGGCTGTAGCCTTTCTGTGCTTTGGTGTCAGGAACTGGAATTACAGATCAGGAGTTCAATTGCTGAAAGGCTGTTTTCAAAGCTTTCCTTTTCCCAGATGCTGGAGAGAATTACACCTTCTGAGTGTACCTCGTTTTAAACCATGATGAGAAGCACCCCACAGTTACCTTCATTCCGTTTTTTAGTTATTTTAGGCATGACTGAGGCTTGGAATGCCACCACTGGTACAGAAGGAAGAATGCTACAGCATACAGACTTTCCTCAACAAGCAGCCTGCTTTCCCATGGCTTTCAGCATCACACTTTGTCTCAGGTCATTGAGCTCAGTAGGCAAAGGAGTACAAAGGAATTGGGCTCCACGTGTGTTTGACTTCTGAGCTCATGCCACGTTAAAGAAATAGTTGTTCTTTTTGTTTCTTTGCAAATAGCCTCAGATTCTGAGGCTGTGCCCTCAGTGCCAAGTCCCACTTGCTGGAGGAGCTGGGAGGGATAAATCACCAACCCCCCCTCAGCAGAAATGTGGGCAGTGCTGGGGTGCAGCTGTCCTGGCTTTACTGAGCCGTGCATCCCAACCCACTGCTGAGTGCCAGGCAGGCAAGTGCAAGGTGCTACTGGGGCGTAACAGGCAGGCAGGGTCAGGACAGCAATTTATGACATGTCGCACTTGAAAGCAAGCATGGGGAAATCATGGTGGAATGAAAGCAGAGTTGAGGTCAGCAAATATTTTTGAAGGTCAAAAAAAAAAAACAAAAAAAAAAAACCAAACAGAAGTTGTCACGCATGGTTGCTTTTGTCCTGCATCTTTAGCTGTGCCTTTTGTTTGTTGGAACTTGGCCAAAGCATGCTTTCCATCTTTTCTGACCATTAAAAATATACGGGTTGTGAGGATGAGTAACAAACGAGGTCAGGGAGTTGGTTGGTCTCTGTATGTGACTGCCACCTGTGGGGTCTGGCTTTAAGCTGTTTCTGGTTTCTCGCTTGCAGCTACCACATATTGGTTTGTTGTTGCATTTTCAAGCATGTCACAAAATAATGGCTAAGAAGATGCTTTGAGGGGTAACTTTTATAGCATGAAGACTCCCAACAGGAGAGCTGGTGTAGCATGCTGTCCTCCCTTGGTGGGAGGGAAGGCTGAACAACAGGTGTTTATCTGATGGAAATGTCTGAGCAGCAGAAATGTGGGGGAGGTTGTGTGGGGAGTCCCCTGTGAAGGTATGGGAAGGGTGGGTTGTTGCAAACCAACAATCGGAGAACTGCAAATTCTTTTAAAATTCCTTTTGTCTCGAGGATGGAAGGGCAGGCATAGCACAAACCTCAGCACCAGCCTCTGCCTCCTCTGCACAGCCAGGTGTACTTCAGGACAGTGTGTGAGTGCTTCCCTCTTGCCTTTGCTGAAGCTCCCAACCTATGCTGGACTGGATGGAGCAGGTCTGGCTGGGCGGCTCTTACAGCAAAGCCTCTGAAATGTTGGCATCCTCTCACAGCTGGGACATGGCAATCCTGGTTCTGAGAGGTATGAGAGGTTTGCTCGGTGTCCCAGGGGCTATGCTTGTTTATTTGTGTTCTGGCAGTGTGCAGAATTACAGTGAACTACATCCTGCAAGATCTGCAAATAGTTCCCACCTATGAAATAAACAGAAGTCTCAAATATTTAAACTAAAACTCTGGATTGCTACTTTATTACCAATAAGAGGCTTTATTGACCTTACAGAGCCTGAGTCACACCTCTCCTCTGATGGTGCTGACTCTATGAAATAATAGCAAAGGACCAAGAACCTCAGTCCTTTGTTTACCCTGGGTGGGATGAGTCATTTAATTAAAAATGGATAAAAGGGAGTAAATTGCATGTAATGCAAATTTCACCCGTGCAATTCCTGGCTGGAGGGAGGTAGATAGTGTGGGTGATTAATCACGAGACAGTTAGGTTGGGTTGGATAGAAGTGCACAGGGGACAGAAGTGCTCATGCAGCGTTCTTCAAAAGGAAATTTGACAGAACTTTCTGTAATATTGTGGTCTCATGCTTTTTCCAGAAGCCCAGGGGTAAATGCAAACAAACAGAGTTCGTTTCTTATGTGGTCAGTGGAGCACTTCCTCAATTATGTGTTCTCCGTGTGCATGGAATAGAGGACTTTACTAATTCTTCTACCTGCCATTGTATTGTTGCTCTCAATTGTCTATTACCAGCTGCTCTTGTGGGGTTGGGCTAGAGACCTACTGCTCTGATACATTCCTGTGTTCCTTTTTCCCAGGGCACATCTTGGGGCATTTCTGATCAGTGGATATCCTTTCCCGAAGCTGCCCAGAGGGAGGAGGAGGGAAAAGCTATCAGCAGAGCAGCTGGATTCTGTCATTTCTGGAAAGTGAGGTAGAGACTGAAAGCTAGGGAAACCACGCAGGGCTGTGCTCTTGGTGAACTGAGCAGTATTTTTATTCCTGGGATACGGATGGGAGAAAGAAGCCATCACTTGGGGCACGGCTGCCACCCTCCCACCTGCTCTGGGGTGGAGTGACAAAGTGTGTCAGGTACAACTTTTGCTGAGTGGAGACAGATCAGTGTCAAATGTGTGGGGAGTTGAACTCGAGTAATTTTGCTTTTTGGATATAGCTGAGAAGAAAGCAGTCTGGTATTGCCAGAATTCAGCCTTGACTGTTTGATGGTAACAGATGCATTTATGTGTGTACTGCACAAATGCCTGCTTTGTTTGGAGGCAGTCCTTATCAGCTGTCACTCAGCTGAAGGCCGCTCAGCTGCTTGGGATTTCGTTGGGTAGGAACAGCAGAGCTCTTCTGTCCTTTCAGTGGGACAGCTCAGACAAAATATCATTGCAGGCAGTGCAACCGCAGCATTTTTAGTAGAAAAGCTTTTCAGAAAGCAATTGTATTAAATCTGTTCTCCTGGCTCACGACCACTCTGGGTCTGTGAAGGACAGGGCAGCTCATAGCCATAAGTGGTGCAATGCAGAGCAAGAGGAAAAGGTGCACCTTGTAAGGGCTCTTGTGATGCCTTGCAGCAGAGCGATGCAGCAGCTAACCAAAAGCCATCACCTTGTTTTGTGACGGGGAAAAAGGGAGATGTGAGTTTTCAGCCCATTCCTCCCAGAGGCCATCCTGTAGTTTGCTTTTTTTTTTTAACCTCTCTGCTGGTGAAGGTCAGTCAGACGTCATGGTGTTATGCTTGTGTGCACCATGATGGCCGTCCTTGTTTTGGCTGTACAGTACCAATGGCAATGCCACTGTGTATTCCATGGTGCTGACACCAGAAGTAAGATGAGGCGGAGAGTGGGGCTTAGCATGAGACAGGGTTGATGACTGCGTACAGGTATAGCAGTTTTGGTGCTCAGTATTTCTGCTCCTGTTCAGTACAGCAGATATTGGGATCTGTGGTGTGACTGAGGCGCCAGAATCACATCCATCATCATTAGTGCAATGCCATTCTTGGCTTTACCTGCCCTGCGAGAGCTGTCTTAACTAATAAGGGCACTGGGAAGTGTTCACACATTGTAAGGCATAAGGAGGTTATTTCCTTATATTGTAACAGGATGTGTGATAACAAGGTATGGACAGAGGCAAGCAGCCTTTCCTGCTCACTGCTATTTTCATCAGGCTATGAATAGCTTGGTGAGATCAGTGTTATCTGTTCCGGGTTTTGTTGTGTCGTGGGCAGGGACGTTTTCATATCTTTATTACACGGACCTATGTGCAGCCCCAGCAATGAGGTGGATCTGCATGATCCCACGCTGACCCAGCTGATGAAATAAAGGTGTCAAATGCTCCATTATCAGAAGAAGGTCCTGTCTGGCTGATTGGCAGGTTAAAGTTCCTAAACCTTTCCTCTTCCTTTAAATGCAAAGCAATGTCTGGTCACTGCGATCTACTTGGCTTGCAGCGAGCGATGTTAAACTGGACACATCCCAGCACTCAGTGCTTGGCATGGGTACCTGGAGAGATGCACTGAGAAACCAGAGTAGTTGTGTGGGCAGCTGAGCACCGGGCTGGTGGTGAAGAGCAGAGACATCGTTTTGTTTGGTGCCGGAGCTCAGGGAAATCTCCCAGAAATAAAATGGAGATGCAGCATAACAGAGGCATCCCTCTCAGCTGCCCAAAAGGAGCTGTTTTGTGCCTGCCAAGCTAAGCAAGCATTTAATTTTCACCCAATAAAACTGTTTGGAAGAGTGTTACCTAGAAAAACAAACAAAACTCCCCAGAATGTTACCCTTCTCTGTAATGAGAAGAAAAATAACTTGAAGATGGAGGAATCAGTCACTCAGGTCTGTACCGTACCTTCCTTCATACCTAGCTGTCGCTGCTGCAGAAGCCTCACCTGGGAGCGGTGGCACTGTTTGTTTTACAAAGCTCACAGGGCTGCACCTGGTGGAGCAGCTCCTGTGGCCTTGTGCAGCACTGCTGTGTGGGGAACCTGGCAGCTCGGGTCACGTGTGGGCATAGCTGCCAAGGGATGAGGAAACGAGCGTTGTCCAGGCTGCCTTCACTTGGTGTGCCGCAGCGCTGCTGTGCGCCCCGTGAGACGGTGCTGCGCTCTGCTGAAACAAGGTTGGTGTTTATTTGTTCCTTTGGGGTTGGTGCTGCTGCCTGATGCCTTGCTGAAGGGAGAAAAGTACAGTCTGGGGCAGCTCACTGGTGTTTGTATCTTGGCTTTGTAAACGGGGAGTCTTAGCACCTGGACTTTCCCTGGCTGTCAGCTCCACAGCGTGCAGGACTGCTCATGGCCAGCGCACAGCTGACAACAGGAAGGTTTATTCCTTTAGTGATTACCTCTCTTAGCTTTTCTGCTGGTGCTCGATGCTCCCCTCTGTCCTGGGGCCAGCAGGCTGCTCGCTCTGGCACTGCCCAGCTCCTCCTGCCACTGCTTCTCTGCCAAGCCAGTGAAGGGAGCAGGGGCTGCAGCTGTTAAGAAGAATCTTTTTGCACCTAAATACTGGTAGTTAGTTCTGTAGTAAGCTGAATCAGGCATGGAGAGGGGTGAGAGGAATGATCAAAGCTCCCTGAATAACACCTAGACAGGAGAAACATTGAACTCCCTTCTTCTGGATGAGAAACCACAGAAGTGACACAGGTCTGCAAAAGGAGCAGCACAGAGTAGGTGAAAGCAGAGTAAACATCACTGGATTTTTGCAATCAAATGCTGGGGGATATCAAATGAAGCAAGCAAGTGGTGGGCACATACTTTTTCATTTCAAGAGTCTGTGGGGCTTTGAGAGTATCACAAATGCTTGAAATTAATGTCAGCTCTGCAAGTATTCCTGGAAATCTGCAAAATGCACAGATATTGCTCCCGTTTTAGGGAGCTGTGCCCTGTGACCTGCAGGATGCCTGGTGCAGGCTGCGTGCTGTCTTCTCCCAGCTGCATGCTGTAGTCCTTGGAGAGGATGAGCAGTGACACAGGGTCCTGCAGCTACCCTGTGGCCACTTCTGCACACTGATATTCTCTGCTCACTGAAGTAGTTGCTGCTTCTTAGTGCGGTGGCCAAAAGAAACCAGAAATCAGCACAGTAGGAGATGCAGGCAGTTCTGCCCCCAAGCATGTCGTGCTTCTGCTTGTCTCTGCACCCACAGCTCTCACACTGCCGAGCGTGTGTTCATCTCCTTGTGATTATCGCTTTCTCTAAAAAGCAGTTAGATGGAAGGAAGTGCTTTGCATCTGATGTCCTCCTCTGCTCAGATTCACAGCTGTCACTGGAGATGTGGTGAAACACTTGCCTGCCTTTGTGTCGTGACATACAGCAGGATCCTGGGGCTGTTCCCCAGCACAGGGCATCACAGTGCTGCAGCACCTGAGGGCAGCCTGCCTTTGCCCTGTGCAGTGGGTGCCATTAACACTGACGCAGGCACTTCTCACTTTCAGGACTCTCCAGGCCAGTGCCTGCTGCCAGGAGCTGTGTCCTCAGAGGGTGAGCTGGGAACCCTCCTGTTTCAGGGGCTGTTGAGATGCAGCACCTTCCTTTCCACAGCAAGCCTGGGAGGTGCTTTGCTTTTTAACTCTTGAAACAAAGGGAGTTGGCTGTTTGGGTTCTGTTAACCTTTTCCTCTCAGGTAGCTGTTCCAATAAGATAAAACATTCTCAGGAAAAAAAAAAAAAAAAGCCATTTACAAATAAGTGGTGTTTTTCTGATTGTCTCCTGGACTAATAAATAAATACGAGTCTGCTGAAAAGATTTGCTGAAGTAATTTCAAATTCTAGAAGAATAAATACTGTGAGAAATGGATCCTTTTTGTTTGTTTGTTTTGTTTCCCCAATAAAATCCGTCCCAGAAACTTTTGTAAACTTGTACTTCTAGAAGTAAGGCTGTGCCTGAGAGTTAGTTGAGCAGAACCAAAGTGCCAGTGCCTTGCTGGGCTGGACAAAATGCAGGTTTCAGCAGAGAAACAGATTTTTATTACTGCTCTTGTTTTCAATAATGTGGTGTCAGTAGTTTCCTAGATGACAAAGGCTATAGTTGCAGTGTGACACACGCATGTTAAGCTTTCTTTTGTCCAAAAATTATTTTATAATAATTACAGAGTTTTTATGTTCGTTCATTTCATTACTTAGCCTTTTTTTTGTGTGTTCTGACAGTTGCTGTGCTTCTACATATTAAGCCATTTTGAGAAAAAGAACAAACACTTGGGGATGTATCAGATGTCAAATAATGTAAATGTATAAAACGATGTCTCCTGAGCAAAGTCCAGCTGAAACTCCTGTGCTTGGCTCTGGCATGCCAGTCCAAGAGGTGCATTGTGTGGAGGCAGGCTGAAGGGGGGACAGAAATAATCTGAACCACAGCTCTGAGGAGCACCTGCAGGACCTGGAGATGTTGAATGTGGAGACTGAGGACAGATAAGGCAGACACACTGAGCGTGATAGAGGCCTTGAGGTCAGGGAATGGGCATGATGATCATCAAATGGTATTTGCCATGAAAACTGGGATTTGTTCATTTTCAGTGTCCTGGCTACCACGGCTGTAGCTTTGGCAGAAAAGGCCAAGGATGGTGAAATCCACAGTCACCTGATGGGCTCTGACTCAGTGGGAAAGTCCCACCTGGTGAGCTGGGAAATATTTACGTGGACTCAAGCAGAACAGCAGAACTTTTCCTCCCTTGGAGGTGCACTTCACTGCCTTCCGGTTGGCCAAGAGGGAAGACAAGGAATAAAGCAGCACTGCAAAATGTGTTTTATCTTCCCTCCACACCATGCAGCTTCTGGCCATTTTTTGGCTCTGCTGAAACGCTGAGCAATCTGCATATATGCTGTCTGAATAGCAAATATCAGTTCAGCACAAGGCGGAGTGCACTGATATTAGAAACTGAGCAGCCTCTGGTATTTCATGGCCTAACATGCAGCAATAATACCTGCAGATCACATTTGCCAATTGCTTTACGAAGGCTGACTGCTTCCTCTGTTTCATATAGGGCAGGAAGGAATAAGGAATAGGAAAATGGAGTTAAAAAACAAGTAGGCAGTTTGGCAGTTCATATGCATATCTTGCTTAAAGCTGAATCAGCTGTTTACCTGTTAGCAGGAAAGCAGCTAAAATAAAATCCCACCTTGGAGAGGTTAGTGCTGTGCGAGATGCTGTAGGATGACGAGGAAAGTAGGGCAGCTTGTTTTGGAACTTGTGCTGAAGAACAAATACAAACCCCCAGTGTACACATTCGGTTACCATATGTCGCGCTTATCAGAAAGGCGTCTTGATGTTATTTCTTTGCAGGGATGCCTGAACTCCACGGAGGCAGACTCCTCTGCTGAAGGAGGCGCATACCAGAGGTGCTGGGGGTGCGCTGAGCTTTCGTGCCTGTTGAGGCAGGCGGTGAGCTTGCTCCTCACTGTGCTTGCCTGTTTGATTGACGCTGGCTTCCAAATTGCTACGACCGTGCCTGAAGGAAAGCGAAGGAGCTTCATTTTGCTGAGAGTATTTTCCTGGCAGGGGAAGGCACGCAGAGCAGCAAAACGTGCCAGGGAAGAGCTGCCCACAGCCTGGAAGTGCTGGTCCAAATGCTAACGCAACTTCCACTCAAGCCATGCTGTTGTGAATGAAGCCCTTTTGCTCCAGCCTTGTCTTGCTCAGCACACTGGGGGCTGCCCATGGCATTGCAGCAGGCTGAGCTGGATTAATTGCTGGTGTGTCATTGCTCCATCTGTCTGAACCGCTGAAGAACGTTGCAGGGAACATGTTGGACTTGAGCTTCCTGACTGAGGAGGAGTATGAGAAGCTGATGAAGGTTCTGCAGAGAGATGCAGAGCTGAAGAAGAAGGATGGGGATCGTATCAGGTGAGACAGCGTGCAATAACAGCAAGTCATGAGCTCCCACCTGGGGGATATTTTACTTCTTATAGTGGAGTGTGTGTATGTGTGTGTGTGTGCGTGCACAGGGAGGGGTGCAGGCTGCAACAGTGCTGTACCTTCGTGCCTGGATCATGAAAGATCTTTTCATTGCACATCCTGCTTTTCAGCTTGCCTGCTGTCACTGCTGTCCCCTCTCTGCAGGACTGTTGGGCTGGTCTCTCCTTTGGAGTTAGTGAGTGCCCCATAGAAATGTGAAGGGGAGTCCTCCCTTTCCTTCTTTGGGAAAGGTGCTGATTTCTCAGTGGCAGAGGTCAGTGCAGGAGAGTATCTGCTGCCTTATTTTCCTCACCTAGTAGCACGGAAATCTCTCAGTGTTTTTAAATGAGGCTTTACATTCTCATCTCCAAGGTGGGTGTGCACACAGCATCCATCATGCAGGCAGAGAGAGGGGCAATGAGAGGCCCCATGAACTGCTCAAGGTTTGCAGGGCATCCTAGGGCTGGGGCCAGCTAATTTGGGCCATCCATGTTGACAGTGTGCTCCAGGCTTGGGAAGCTGGCACCAAATTCTCCACTGCTGGAAAGGAATAGTTCAGTGGGTGCGGATGGCACTGTGCCTGGCTATCCCTGATAAGGATGTCTTTGACTTCTTGGTGAGCTGAAAAAGAGTAAACCCTGTGTGGGAGGGATGCTCAGGGCTTGAAGGGTGAATGGGCAGCTTCTCCCCTGAATTGAAACATTAAAAAAAATAATATCCTTTTTTTGTTGTTGTTATGGTTTGTTAGGGTATTCTTTCTTACTTTTTTTTCCCCCCTTATTTCTGAAATTTAGTAGTAAAATTTCTGCTTTGTTGTGGAGGTTTAGGGGAAAGTGTTGGATGACTTCAGTTTTGCTTTGCTCTTTGGGAGATGTTGCACAAAACATTTCATTTGGGAGCCAGGTGAGTTAGATCCTCCAGAGAGCAGTGCCAAGTGCCACTTGCTATGAGTGCAGCTGACTGCAGTGAGACCTTCTGTGCCAATGTGGGCATGTTTGGCTCTACCACGGCCAGCTTGCTGGGGGAGACAAACTCAATGGCATTACACTGAACTGTTGTCAGCAGGATTAAAATATGTGCCTGAATCTTCTCTGGCCCAGCACTCTGATGGGGCAGATGGCCTCTCAGGTCTCAGGGACTCTGAGCTGTAGTAACTGGGAGACAGTGGCAGCCAGAGGTTTTTACACCAAGGAGTCATATAAAAACAAATTAGCTGGAAAAGAGTTAAAAATACAGGCTAGCAAACAAAGCACTGACAGATTTAGGTGCCAAAAACCAGCCCTGGGTGTGTCCAAGCTAGTTACAGTAAGAAAAGCTGTGCTCGGGAAGGAGAGCTAACTGTTTGTGTGCCAACGTCAGCATGGCAGCAGGAGCAGGAAGAGAAGTGTCCAAGGAGAATGCTGAAGAACCAGGAATTGCATAATTTATTTCCACAGTTTGCAGATCTGATCCAAAAAGGTTTGCAGTTCATAAAGAGATTAATAGACAAATAAAACAAAGAAGCGCAAGACCTATAAACAATCCCACCCCTTCACAAACCCTCAGAGCTGCAAATGAAATAAACAAATCTTATGAGGTAACTCAATTTTGAACATGTAGTTTGTAAAAGATGACGACCTTTGCTTGCTGTTTGTTTTTCAAAAAAAAAAAAGAAAAAATCAACTTTAATTTTTATGTTAGTTTGGCCCTTGTGATTGCAGAGAATAATCTCAGGATCCTTTGTAAAAGCAGACAGGGGAACTGTACGTGCAGCTGTTATGAGAGTAGCTCAGGGAAAGTTGAAACCTTGGAGATCTTTTAAGTATGAACATTTCCCTTGACTTTCAGACGGATACAAGGCTCCATCAAGGATGAAAAGAAGAAGAAGTTTGTGACAGGTGAATGGTTTTCAGAAGTGAAGGCAAAACGGTTTCAAGAAGACTTAGAAGGTTCAGATCTGCTTCGGGCATCAATCAGAAGGAAAAAGGGCAAACTAGAAAGTAAGTATGGTTAATGTGTGTCTTAAGAAACCAAATTCATGGACCAGAAAAAGGTAGTCAGGTATGAGGGTCTCCCTGTACTGGGAGCCTTTTGGAAGCCAAACTTCAGTTTAAGAAACAGATTTTGTGCCCAACTTTCAGTACTGGAAAAAATATCTGTTTATCAAAACCAGAGCCCGAGGGAAAAAAACACAGCATGGCAGAGGACCAAGATAAAAGTTGTTTACCAGCTATATGCAGTAAATGCTTTTTCCCCATTTCTGCTTGTTTATTCCAAGATGTCTGATTTGTCAGAAGTCACTAGTATCATTTTTTGTCACAGAAGCAAGGAGGAAGGGAGATAATGCGGGGCAGTTTCTAGCATGAGATTGATATGTGTGGGTCAGAGACCCCTCCATTTCCCAACTCATCTAGTAATAACCACCAGCCAGCTGCTCTGGCAGGCCTCCAGGATGGTGAGATCAGTCACATCTCTGCAAAAGCAGAGAGTACCTCTCATCTTCTGGCAGAAATTTGCTCTCTCTGAGAGAGAAGTGACAGTCCACGCCTAGCTTTTTTATTTTTATATACAACGGATCAAATCAGATTTGATGCCTCATGACAATGAGAGGAAAGCAGCCCTGTGTCAAATGAGCAGGACTGTGCTTTGAGTCCAAATTTAACTAGCCTGATGCTGGCACTTTGTACTGAACACTTGTGCAAAGCAGAATTGATTCACATCTTATCCTCACCATGAAGACAGGCCAGCCAGCCCCACAGCAGGATGTTAGGATATCTCACACAACTTCTTGATTATCTGTCAGGGTGGGTAGTCATAGACAGGGCCAGTGAATTGGTGGCTGCTGCTGCCCAAGGAAGCAGTAGTCCTGATGGTCAGCTCTTCACAAAGTCTACCACCATCCCTTATAGCTGGGCTCTGTTCTTCTGTGGTAAGATCAGGATTGTCTTCCATCTGTCCAGAACTCAAATGCCATCTCTACTAGTTTGGTTCAGCTGTCTTCCCTGGGTTTGGCTGTATTTCTTTCTGTGGGGCTGCAGTAACATAGATCACTCCTCTGTTTGCTGGGCCTCAGTGGCCAGGATCTAATTAATGTAATATTTTCTCCCCTTTCTGAACTCCAGTTTAGTTTATTCTTTATAACTCCTCATTATTCAGACACATACTTGAAGCTAAACAGTTTCCAAGGACTAACTTAGAGCCTCATTTCCGTTTGCATTTTGCTCATCCCTCACAGCTCTTGTAGCTTAGCATAGATTCATTGGAACCTCTGATGCAGAACTGGCCCATCATATTTCATATGAAGTTGCTTTTATCCTTGGTGTTGAGGATTCATTATGTCATTACATTTACTATTTTGACATCTCTCCAGAATGCTGAAACATGTTAAAAACCTTTTACTGTTTGGCAGGCTTGCCTGGCCATTTCTGCAGGGTGTGCTCTGCTTTTTGAGGATGTACGTTTGTGATTTAACTCTTACTACTAATATGTATGTATGAGACATGGCCTAAGGTTATCACCTAAAATAATCCCCTTATTAAAATAGCATTCATATACAAGTTATGTTTTTGCTTATGCATTTTCACAGAATCACAGAACTGTAGGGGCTGGAAGGGACCTCTGGAGGTCACCTAGTTCAAGCACCTGCTAAAGCAGGTTCCCTAGGGCAGGCTGCACATGAAAGTGTCTGGGTGGGTTTTAAGCATCTCCAAAGGAGACTCCACCACCTCTCTGGGCAGCCCGTTCCAGTGCTGTCACCCTCACGAAAAAGAATTTCTATCTCATTTTCAGTGCTAGACAAATGCATCAAGAAGGATGAAGCAAATGTTACTGAATTACTGTAGCAATTATGCTTAGATGTAGCCCTTTTTCTTCCCTCACCTTCTCTTTTTCAATTCTTAGTCTTCCTATGGAAAAGCACAGCTACAGTATGACAATGTTGCTTGCTCTTACTTTTCCCACTGCTGTTTTACAGCAACAGTTGAGAATCAAGACTCAGCAGCTGCTCTTTTCACCTTGCTGTTACTTTCCATAGGTTCAGCTCCCACAGTGATTACCACACAAGGCTTGCTTCCCTTCACCCATGAGGGCAAGCACTTCTCCTGCTGATGTGCCATCAACAATATTGCCTCAGTGAGAGCAGTGCTTGCCCTATCAGGGAACCAGACGAGGCTCTGTATGAATGGTTTGAGCACATAACTGACCTGTAGTAGATGATGTAAGGGCCTTTGCTGGCCGTCCTGATACCTTTTCAAGGTGATGAAACTGTGTGTCTTCATTTAATGAAATAAATGTAATGTTCTCATGACTTCAGGGCTGTTAATCCTTATTTATATATTAGGGAATGAAATGAGAAAATTCATACTTGGAAAAGCCCCACAGTATTTGCTGGCAATTGCTGGCATTCCTTCTGCGTGGCAAATGGGCTGAGGAAAGCAAACATTCGTGCCTGCAGAGAAAAAGGCCCAGTGACCTTTTCTTGAGGAGGGTTTTAATTCTCAGAAGAAAGGGTTTTGTGGCTCCCTAAGGACTTTAACTTTTGCTATTGATTATAGTAGAAGGTGGTAATAATCAGCAGCAGTATAGATCTATAAAGTACACAGATGCTCTCTGAATTCAATCTACTGTCTTCAGAGCTGCACAGATGAATGAATTTGGTGATAAATTGTCCTTGAGCTTGTGTGCAGGGGATGAGAGCTACATATTGTCTGTTGGAGAGGCCATGTTATCTTATCCCCTGCCTAGGCACATCAGTCCTGACAGCACCATTAGTGCTCCCTTCCCCAAGGTTGAGTGTCTGTTTTAGAGTGATAGGAAATAGGTAAAGCAGCTACTGTATTAAAAGTGGCTCTATAAATGCACATGTATGTACAAACAAGTTTAACTGGTCAGACCACTAGTAGGTTCTATATGATGCTGAAGTTACCAAGGGCACTTTGTTGGGATGGATTATAAAGTACTGTTGACCTCTGTGTTTGTGGCTCTAGAAGCCAGGCATAGCTGTGCCAGTGGCTGAACCATTTTGAAGGGTGGTGATGTGGAGGAGGTGAACACCTCCAGCTCCTGCCAGCTGGGAGCTGGGAGATCAGTCTGAGAAAGTCTGAGGGGGAAGTGCCAGTGAAAAGCAGATTTGTTGCAATACATTTGGAAATGATGTGACAAATGAATGCAGCCTTTGGTTGTTAAGGTCTTTTCAGTCATGGCAGGCAGAGGGAGAACATGGGTGCTCTGTGTTTGGATCTTCTCATTCCCAAGCAGCTATCTGCTGGCATCTCCCTACCTGGACTAGAGCAGAAGAGGATATGTGGCTTATTGTGTAAATAAATGGTTCTGCTTTCCTCTGCCTGTATGTAACATGGCCAGCATGTCCCATCTTTTCTGTCCTAAAGCAATACTCAGTGATGCTTTTTGCACACCAGCCTTTACATGAACAAAACACTGAGTTCCCACTATTGCAGAAGCCATTGGGCCACTCAGTTGCCACAACGTGCCTGTGACATACGTGTGGTCCTGTGCAAACAGACCCAAGCAGCACCCTCTGCAGACCCTCAGCACCGCAGGGACATGGAACAGCAGTGCTGGGTGCTGGCAGGCAGGAAGGCTGCAGCTGCAGCATTTGTGTTAGCAGTGAGGCACAACAGTGGAGAGTGGAGCTCCGTCTCCAGATCTGCCATTATCCATAGGTGACTGTACTGACACGGCATGGCATCAGGCAAGACACAGGGGATGGAAACAGGTGATCTTTAAGGTCCCTTACAACCTAAGCTATTTTGGATTGCTTTAGTGCTGTTTTCTAACGTTCCTGAACCTCTTGGTAGGAACTGGGGGAGCAAACTCCCCCACTGTAAGGGCAGAGCAAATCTAGGACCACTTGGTGAGACCCAATGTGTATGTGTCTATGGGGCCAGGCAGCATGCACACCAGGGTCCTAAGGGAGCTGGCTGATGTGGTTGCCAAGCTGCTTTGTATAATATTTGAAAAGTCATGGCTATCACATGAAGTCTCAGTGACTGGAAAAAGGGAAGCATAACTCTCATTTGTGAGATCCCATTTGTGAGAAAGGGAGGATGATCTGAGGAACTGCAGGCCAGTGAGCCTCATGTCTGTGCTTGGGAAGATCATGGAGCAGATCCTCCTGGAAGACACATAAAGGCATATGAGGCACAAGCAGGTTATCTGAGACAGCCAGCATGGCTTCACCAAGGGAAGGTCATGCCTGCCCAATCTAGCAGCCTTGTATGATGGAATGATGGCATCAATGGACAAAGGAAGGCAATTGGTGTCATCTACCTGGACTTCTGCAAGGCTTTTGATGTGGTCCCCCACCACGTCCTTATCTCTAAATTGGAGAGATATGGATTTGAAGGGTGGACTGTTCAGTGGGTAAGGAATTGGTTGGAAGGTCAGAGGGTTGTGGTAAGATGGCTCTATGTCCAGGTGGAGACTGGTAACAAGTGGTGTCTCCCAAGGGTTTGTCTTGGGACTGATGTTCTTTAACATCTTTATCAATGATGGAATTGAGTGCATCCTTAGCAAGTTTGCTGGTGACACCAAACTGAGTGTTGCAGTTGATATGGCAGAAGAAAATGATGACATCAGAGGGACTTTGATAAACTGGAAAGGTTGGCTCTTGTGAACCTAATGAGGTTCAACAAAGCAAAGTGCAAGTTTTGTACTTCTGTCGGGGTAATCCCAGGTGTGTATACAGGCTGAGAGAAGAACCCCTTGAGAGTATCCCTGCAGAGAAGAATTTAGGGGTCCTGGTAGATGAAAAACTTAACATGAGCCAGCAATGTGTGCTTGCAGCCTGGAAGGCCATTGGTATCCTGGGCTGCATCACGAAAGGAGTGGCCTGCAGGGTGAGGGATGTGATTGTCTCTCTCTGTTTTGCCCTCGTGAGGCCCTGTCTGGAATATGGAATCCAAAGACCATGAAAATGATCGGAGGGCTGAAGCACCTGTCCTATGAAGACAGGCTGAAGGACCTGGACTTGTTCTGCCTGGAGGAGAGAAAACTGTGGGGTCACCTCATTATGGCCTTCCAGCATTTAAAGGGAGATTGTAAACAGGAGGGAAATATATTTTTTTTTTACATGGGTACATAGTGATAGGACAAGGGGGAATGATTTCAAGCTAAAGGAGGGAAGATTTAGATTAGATTTTAGTGGGAAGTTTTTCACTGAGAAGATGGTGAGGTGCTGAAACAGGTTGCCCAGAGAGGTCATAGATGCCCTGTACCTGGAGGTGTTCAAGGCCAGGTTGGATGGGGCACTGGGCAACCCCATCTAGTTCTTGATCTAGTGGTTGGCAACCCAGCCTGGAGCAGGGGGTTGGAAATTGATGATACTTTAGGTCCCTTCCATCCCAAGCCATTCTATGAGCCCTTGAGCCTCTGCTTCTATTATACGATGAAATATAACCAAAAGAGATGTAGCAGTTTTTATAACAGATACATTTATTCTTTAAATTAGATCTAGTTGCAAGTGAGTAAATATGTGCAGACCTTGTGGGGTTAGGTTTTTTGTTGTTGTTGTTTGTTTGTTTTTGAGCAAAGTAAGCTTGTTTTTTCATTGCTGTTTGAGAGATCAATCCTGTTGGTTGCGCAGTAGCAAGAGCCTGTTTGCCAGTTAAATGGCTAATGCAACTTTATACCTTGGCAGGCTGCTTTAAAGGTTACTGTCTTCTATTGTTTTTTTTTTCTTCAGGGTCTTTGAGAGCTCAGAAGACATAGCTGAGCCTTTTGCCAGTAAAAATAACAAGGATCTCCTCATTAACTCTATTGGCCTCCTCCTTTGTTTGCCAAGATCAGATGACTTTGAATAAAAACAGGAAACGGCTGAATTTAAATCCTGGAACGGATTAACTTTACTGACAGCCACGGCATTGTCTTGCGAAGGTTTCCAGCAAAGCAGCAGCTCCTGGCACGAGCCAGGCATTGGGCAGCTCTCTTTGGGCACGCAGATACGTGGAGCCTGGGGGTGCCGTGGCCTCTGGGTAGTGTGGATGAAGCTGCCATGGAGCATCCCCCCCCCCCCCCGCTAAATCCCCAGGGTTTTTGCTGTGGGACTCATTTAATAAGCTTTTGCTGTCTTCAGATAAAACACAATGCTGTTGCACGCTCAATTCCATGTACTTTCTTGGTTGTCTCTGTTAACATTACAGATGAGGTCAACGAGGAGCACATCGGGAGAAGTCTGGAAAGCAAAGATGCCCCAGGTCCTCCCTTCCATGAGCATGCTGCTGGCACAGGAGAGGAGAGGTATCTGCCACTAACAAAAATTGAATGCTACCCATTGAATCCTGTTCTTTAACTGAGCTTCCAGGACCATATTAGTAATAGGCTATATAGAATGCTTTTAAAACCCTTTTTCCAGGAATTGTCAGAGTATCAATCCTCCCCTAATAACTAAGAGCTAATGTGCTTATGCCAGAAAGGTCTTTTCCTGCATGATTTGATAAGGAGTCAGTAAAATGGAAGCTGTCTCTAATGTCAGGTTATTCTGGGTAGTTTTTCAAAGTAATTATGATTTTTATTTGTTTAATTTTTCCCATGGAGCAATGCTAACAACATGAACTATTTCAGGAAACCGCTCATTTCCTGCTGGTGCCAACCACTCACCATCATGGCTTGGTAGATTTCATGTTGTGCTGACTGTGCACAAATACACAATAAAAGAACTTCAGCAAGCAAATGAGTGACCTCACTCAGTGTTTGTGAACTATGGAGAATCCATTAAAATATCCATTTTTTTATTCATCGTTGCTTCCATCTTATTTGCATTCTTTTGTCAGCAGAATGAGGAATCATACTTCACAGGTGGCAATTGCTGCAATTATTAAATATGAGCCTTGAAAACACTTCCAGACCTCCCGCAGCTGAACAGTGGGTGTTGTTTAATAAAGGACACAGTCAACATGCTTTATAGCATGGCAATGGTCCTAATGATTTAACGTGGGAGTCCTGTAAATGTTGCTTTGTTTTTTTCATTCAACCCTAAATGTAAAGCATTCCCATCTGAAATCTCACCAGTGGCCCAACCTGGCTGCTCTTCTCCACCTGGAGGGCAGCTGTCACTAGAAACTCCCAAAGACAGTAGAACTAGTCAGGCAAACTGCCCATGATGTATGTTTATTTTATTTATGTACCAAGCACTTAGTAATTAAGTTATGAAACAAGTATGAAGATTTTTATCCCCTACTATAGTATTGTTGATGGCTTAATAATTCCTGTAGTTTCTGTGTTCTCAATTAATCCAGGTCTGCCTGTGGCCTGGCCTGAGCTGTGTGGATAGGCATGACTTGTTCCTTCCTGGACCAAGCCTGAAAGGGCATCTCCCTCTTGTGTGGCTTTTGGGCTGTTTTGGCACTATCACATCCTTTGTTTTTCTCTATAGTTTTCTCCCAGAAAGGAAAATCTGAATAAATTGTGGGTGAAAGAAGGTGTCATCACTGTTTTTGTTGATCAAATTCTATACTGACTGCAGTGATAGACTCATATTTGCTCCAAGCTTAGACAATTTAATATGCCCCCCAGTCCTTCTATTGGAAGGAGAAAATGAATGAAGGCACTAGCTCTGGGCAGCCTTATATTGGACAGTCAGTAGAAAAAAAGTGACAAAGCAGCTGAGCAGAACTGAATCAGTGTCAAAGGCTGCCAGACTGCCTATGCAGTGGATGCTCTACCCAGTACATCCCTACCACTGATCTCCTTGCTCAGACGTTTTTCTACTCCATAGATCCAGCACACCTGTTCTTGATGCTGCAGAGGAGCATAAAATCTTGCCAAAACCAAAGCCGAGACTTTCTGCCATGCTGTCTGCATCACACAAGGTACTATAGTTATATCTTCTGTGCTTCATTTTGTTATTTCTTGGGTCTTCACACAGTCTGTATCTACTGACCAGAGGCTCCACAGACTGTCCTCTCTAGTATCTGTGCTCAAATAAATGACATTTTTTCCAGTCTTGTGAGTGGATATACATTGACAGAGTTTATTTTCTATTCAGAGATTCAGTATACATGATGTTTCTTCCTCGGAGAGTGACACAGGAGCAAGTCCATTTGCAGGTGCAACAGACAGCTTGCATTTGTCTAGAAAAGGTAAAGTTTTTGTTCAGTGAACCACTGACGTTTTCATTGTTTAGAGTCAAACACCAAGAAACGTGCTGCTTTTTTTGTGCATAGAAATGAATAACAAAGAGCTTTTCTTAGTTTGGCCTGTAAGAATGGGCTGCCAAAATTCGTATGAATTATGCACAAGGCAGAAAGAATCAAGAAAAAAATCCTCAGTGACTAAAACTCCTCCTGGCTCTCAGTATGGTTAACTGAGTGCTTGGCTAACAATTTCTTAATGCACAGATCCAAGTTACATTTCTTTAGTCTCCTGCTTTGAATGTGTAGTGTATTTTGGTATGTAGCAAATAGACAGTATGAAATCTGTCAAGCAGAATGTGAAGCTGTGAACAAATCCCCAACTCACAACAACAATTTAGAGCTCAGTGAAATTTTTCCCTTTCTTGGTACAGAAAGAAGGGCTGAGTTTTTCAGGCTTTTCCTTCACATGAAAGGGAACTTGCTGGACTCTCAAAATAGGGAGGAATTAGGAACGTATTGGTGGTTTCTAGAAACTCCTCCTGGCTTCTCTTTGAGGACCTGCAGCCCAGACCTTCCAGGGAGTTAGGATATGGTGTGGTGGGATGGCATCTGAGCATTTGTTGTTGCTGTAGGTAATGGACTGTCTCCACCGCCTGCCAAGCTTTTAGACAGTGCTGTGCCACAGCCCAGCTGTGCAACTGGAGAAGCTGCTGATGGGGCCACTGGCATCACAGCAGGACCAAAAAATGCACCCGAAGAAGCTTATACTCCCAGCAGGATACCTGTTAAGAGAAAACCAAGCAGAAATGTGTCCAGATCAGAGCAGTTTGTGAATCATCTGGGGTCAGCAGAGAACAACCTTGAAAAGAGAGAGTTACTGGTAAGCCCCAGATTGCTGACTACAGAGGGGGAAAGCAGCCAGGCAGTGAAGCCAGGCGTGAACTACACAATCTCATCAATGAGTAATAAAGAGGAGGACATTGGCCTTGATCGTGAGCACTTCAAGAATTTGAAGAACTTCTGGGAGAAGGGAGCAGACTCTGTGATGATGGGAAGTGTGCCAGAGTCCCCAGGCTCGCTGGAGGCAGATGGCAGGCAGTTCAAGCTGTGCCGCTCGCTCTCCGTGCAGTCAGACCATGGCCAGAACAGTGAAGAAAAACCTGGGGCCTTCACTAAAACAAGAACCCCTTACAAAAGGACAATAACTTTATCTTCCAGTGAGGAAGAACCAAGCTATGTAGCTCCTGTGAGGAAGGGATCCATTTCCATTGCTCCAAGATCTACGTATGCCAAGAGCAAAGGAGGCCTGGTCACAAGAAATAATTCTCTGGGCGAAAGCAATGGGAAGCCATCAGTGCCAGAGGAAGAGAAGGCAGCACAGCGCAGCTCCAAGAAATCCAGATTGCCTGTGCGAGTGCCTTCCATCAAAATCGAGTCTCCTACCAAGGAAGTATCTGGCAGCATGTTAGAGCCAGAGACTCCTACAGAGAAGTTTATCGTGGCAGAGGAGCGCAAGCGCACAGTGAGCTCTTTGGCAAGCAGGGTGCAGACACTGATTGAGCCTGCGCCTGCAGGTGGTGACAAAAATGATGAGAAAGCACAAAGATGTGATGTGGGCACTCGTGACAACATGGAGGTAAATGGAGAGCTACCTGAGGAAAAAACATGCCAGTCTTCAGAACAGCCAACAGGCAGTGTGCTGGCCGGAGGGAGAGAAGTTGTTCGGAAGATGGACTTGTCTGTTCACTCAGGTACTGAGGGCTGTAACTGCACCCTGGGAAACCCCATCGAGTGTCACCTCTAAGCTGTTTTCTTCCCTAATACTTCCAATTTTGCATGTTTTCTTTGCTTCTACATCTATACTGTATTAAAACTGGTACAGGGTTAGCATGTGTGGAATGTGTTTAACAAACAGCTTTGGAAACAACTGTTCTTTGTAGAGCAGTGAGATGTAAAATTGGGCAAAATCTACTTCGATATGGCTACTGGCAGTCAGGATTTGAGTGACACTTCGGGCCTTTTGGGAATCCACCAGTAAGCTGCAAACAGAATGGACCGGACAAGGAGTCTGAACTTTGTGGGCTCTGATACCACATTTTCCATCACAGTGAAGTCAGTAGTACTACCACTTTATCAGCCTCTTCCTCTGGGTTTGACAGGCCCTTGTAAGGACTGATAATATGGGCAAAAGTTCATGCTAATTGCAGTTTGCTTTAAATGTGAGCTCTGATTGCCCACAGCTCCATTCCCTGCCAAGCAAAGACCTAGGAAGAGAGAGTTCCGTCTCCTTTTTCTGCATATTTGATCCTCTTGTACCTGATTGAGACCCATTTGAGAGGACTTTCCATGAACTTAGCTGATTTGATTTTGACTGTGTCATTTCTTGGCTTATTTCCTACCTTTTATAACATTTCCATTAAAATCCTCAGTTGCATTTCAGGTAAACACAAGCATTTCTTTTATATACCAATCATTCTTGCATTGCTCAGGGTATTTTTTTCATTATTGTTACAGTCGTTACAGATTGATATTAGCAGATGGCTGTATTCCACTGGAAGTTCTTTGTAAGTGTCGATCTCTTTTAGGGACTGGGTTACTCCAGTGTTTACATTTCTCATCATAGTGCGAAGAGCTTTTCTCAGGGAGAGAAGTTGGAGCCAATGATTTGAAAGTAACTTTGTGTAACTGTACAACTGCAGCGTGCTCTAAGCAGAAGGAGTAGCTGAGAGAGAGACATTCATGCTTGCTGACATCCTGCCCATTTGTGTTTGTTTACTCACCGTGTCAACTTGACTTTTCATATATTCCAGGGGAAGATGGAGATCATTCTCCTGCTGCTCAAGCCGTGGCCCAAGCAAACAGCATAAATCTTGCAAAGAGCATGGTGAACATTTACACAACCACAGAGAGTGAGTAATGCTTTTCTTTCTGCATTTTAGTTTAAGTTTCTTGAAGGCAATATATTATGTATGAATTTTGCATCCCTGGTGCTTCTGTGCTAGTACTAAGCAAGGAAAATGACATATTGTTTCATCATCAAATTAGAGAGCTTATAGTACCTAGAATTAAATTCAAGGCCAGGAAATTACAGCTAGATTGATGATATGTCACTCAGTGTGCACAGCAAAATGCAAACAGGCTTCAAACGGTTGGCAAGAATCTCTCTCCTCTTCCACCACTGAGTACCATGGGACCTATATGGCAGCCTGCTCAGTGATCAATCAGAAGTGGCAGAGTTTGCATCCAGCATGCAAGCTGTGCCACAGGCTGCTGTCACACGCTTGCTTGGGCCTCTATCTGGGCCTTTCCCAGAGCAGCCCCAGATTGCTAGCCTGATCTCCTCAGCTACCAGCTGGGACACACTTCATGTTGGCAGTTCCTCTTGGGGAAACCAAGAGAAGCGAAGGAGAAGGCAACCAAGAAAGCAGCAGCAAAAACTGAAGAAGCCCATGACCAAGAAACCTGTCTGTGCCACCAAGTAGCCCAAGAAAGCATCAGTCAAGGGAGAGGGCCTAAAGGAAGGCAGCAGCAGCCTCTGTGGCTGGAAAAACCAGTACATGTCCCCAAAAGAAGAAAGCTGGCAAGCTCAAGAAGACAGCTGTGAGCGTGCCTAGAAGCAAAGGGGTATGGCCAAGTGTGCTGGGACTGAGCTGGGGAGGTTGGGGAGGCAATGCCCAGGGTAGGGTAAAGCAGCTTAGAGGAAACAATAAGGCCAGTTTAAGTCAACCTGATCCCTGGTTATGGGATGGAGGGGAGTCCCCTTTGGGCTGTCACAGGCAGCCAGTGAATGGGGCATGCTGCACTGACCTATCTGCGTGCAACTGAACCATGCCATCGTGGAGCCTTGTGCCAAATGTATGCCATGTCATGTGGTGTGGCAGTGCAAGTCAGAAAACACGATGGCTCAAAGCTTCAAATCCCACATGCATTGCCATTCAGTGATTTGGTCTTAAGGCAGATGACAGTGATTTTAGCCTTTCCCCATTGCAGCTTATTTAGAGCCACAAACCTCATCCTAGGAAACCTTCTACCGAGTTGCACTTGTTTACAGTATAACAAATAGCCTGCAGAAAAGGCTAAATTTAACACTTTACTGATTGTTGGAGATATCGAACAGCCTTTTGGCATTCTGAACACTGAGTAGGGTATCATCATGGCTAATGCTCAGCAGTGGTGTATATGTGCATTTGTCATCTGAAAACAAACCAGTCGTTTTGGAATGAGATTAGTCATCGAGGAAGTTACTGAGAAAAGATAAATACAGAGCAGATAGGCCTTATTCAAACGTTTAAGCAGCTCAGTAGCCATCTTTTTAGGTTGTAGTGGAAGTTCATAGTGTTTTGAAGCTTTCTTTTTTCTTTTATATACAGACTATTTCTACCTCCTTGTCCATCTAGCAGTATGTCTGAGAGGTGATTGCAACAGTGAAATTATTGGTCTAAGTATTTTACAGCTCGTTTGGACAGGGAAATATTGTTTACACATGCTATGAGATGGAAATGTGAGCGTGTTTGGTTTCTTTGACGGGGGGCGGATCTGCATGCTTTGGTTCTAAGTTACATCCACACAGCTGGAAGTTGTAGAGCAAAGAAGTTATACGTGCTTCGGGCAACGCATAAATTGAATTAGCCACTAGAGGGAGTTTAGACACCCCTACTCTGAAAGTAGCTTTTACAGCATTAGCTAGCCAGCAGTCAGGAGGGCTCACCTTCAGTGACTGGTGACAGAGCTGGGGCAAGTGCCTCCCACAAGCTTCTCCTCCCTCCTTGTGCCTTTAAACAAACAAACAAACAAGTGACTTTCTTACATCTTCCTGACTGTTTATCTTGACACCTCTTTTCTATTTGTACTTACAGCGTACAGTAAACCTCTTTTGATACCCCATCAATTTCTTGAACCTGAAAGAGTCAAAGAACTGAGCAGATCCTCTCCTCTCCTGTTGTCTGAGGTAGGATAGATACCAGAAATGGCTGAAATAATTTTCCCAGCATCCCTTAAACAGCAGTCGGGTCCATGAGAATCTTTTTCTGGGACACTGGCAGTACTTGCTCTAGAGAATGCTTTGCTTATGTCATAAAAAAATGATAAAAATTATAAAAGCTGTAAGAAAAAAGTCCCTAGTAATCCACAACAACCTTTTGGTCCTGTAGGAGTTTTGGTCTTGCCCTCTGCCTCAAATCACAGTATTGCATGCCCTTCCCAAGAGTCCAGGTGGTTTGGAGGCAGTTAATGATGACGTTTGCTGCCGGTCAGAGGCAGTGCCTCTGGGGAGATTCCCTGCACTCCCCTCCGCTCTCCTAACCTGCTTGCTGCTTAATGGGACTCTGCTGAGCTATTGGTTTTCCTCTGTAGTGTTGGGAAGTGCTTATACGGCAGAGCATAAAGATGCTTGTTATTTTCTGAGCAGACAGAATCAGACACGGCTTCGGAAATCAGCTTCCAGTTTAGCAAGCACAAAAAGACTCCTAGCATTGGCAGCCACTCCTCCGACATGGCATCTGTCTCCTCGGTAGGTATTTAATGTGTATGTTTTGCTAGAAAGCATTTCTCAGTTGGATGCAGTGACGCTGCATTTAGGCTGATGCGGATGACGTGGCCTCTGGAGTATCACATTGGTTTCTGCATGGTACTTGATTTAAAAGAACAGTGATGGCTAATTACCTGCATTAAAGAAGTGTCTTCAGGTACTATCTCAAATTAGAAATCCTCGTTAGGTCCTTGTTAGACAAATTCAGAGTAAGAGGCAGCCTCTCTCCAAAGTGTGGAGCAAAGTGTGCTGCAGCCTGGAAGAGAGGAGTGGCCTTTCTCTAGGTGGGGGAATTACACACAGCTATTGAGTGGCTCTGAAAGAGCTGGGATTGCAGACTGGTGCCCTCTGCAAGCTTCTCCTTCACTTAATCAACTAATTAAAGGGAGCTCAGAATTTGATAGAAACAGGATGATTTAGAAGTTCAGCTTCTAAGGAAAGCTGACGAAAGCTGAGTGCATTTTGTTAGGCAATTTAAAAGGATTCCTTAGAGACAGTGTTTTGGGGGGGCTCTTTAAAAGTGTTTTAATTTGCTGTGTAACTATTATAGGTAGCTCCAAAGTGTATATGTGAGATTTAAAGAATATATGTGAAGAAAAGCTTGTAGGGAGAGGTCAGGAACGTAGGCAAATATGTTATTTAAAAAGCTTTAGCTTGGGGGTGCATTAGTCCTTCTAGTCTGTAGAATCTGGGAGCTATAAATGAGCCTTTTTTGTCCAAGTGACAGAAATGTTTTTGAAAATCTCTGTTGGGTTGAATATCCTGATGAGATGAGAAATGTATCTCCTCAGACTGAGAGAATATATTCAGCAGGTTCTTATAGGTTACCATAGCATTTAATTCAGAAAGAAAAGGAATGGGGGGGGGGGACAGAAAAGAATTGGGTTAATTACCAGGAAAGTTTTTTGATAAATATTCATGATTGTACACAGAAGAGTCCCAAGAAGTTTAATTATTTGCTTTGTAAACTGCATTAGCTTTTATGGTATCCCATCAGTAATCATTAGTGATTGGTGCAATAGAAAATTCTCATCTTTCTGAAGCTGTATTTTATTTCCTTTTCTTGACTTTCTATTAGAGAAAGATTTAAGCCTTGGAAAGAGAAGCTCAAGGCCTTTGGGCAAATCCAGTTTGTTCAGGGAAAGCAAATGGCTCTTGAGTGCCTAGTTTATACCTGAAGCCCTGAGTCCTGGTTTATACCTGAAGAAAATTCATTTTCCTCTGCATTTGTGACAGAGCTGTCTCTGGTGGGACAGTGGCTCTTCAGGACAGAATATATTTGTTTCTGTTCTGTACAGCTCTCTGCACTTTGTGAGCAAGCAACAAGACAGTATGGTCATATTTCTGTATTTCTAGTCTGATAATGTTCTTAGTAGCCTGTTTTTAAAACTGAACGACAATAGGGTGACTATCTCTACCATAAATAATAACTGTATGTGAAGATAGTTAAAGTTCTCTCAATATATTTCTTAGTGATGAGACTGGTTCAGAATAGCAGCCCTTAGTACAGGTAGCACCAGGAAAAAGATAAGACTCTTACTAGTGATAGTAGAGAAAGATATGCTCTCTTACTAGTGATATTTAACTCTTTCCCAGAGCTTTAGGATTTAGAGATATAAATCATTGGGCACTTGGGAAATCAGTGCTTCTTAGTCCTGTTATAGGGTATTGCATCTGTGAGACCTTTATTCGGGTCCTCAAACCCTTGCTTGTGCAAGCACAGCACAGCAGATGTTCACCATTTCTGTATCAAGGACACAGTAATACTTGAGGACAGAGAGAGCAGATTATTTCTCCAGGAATGCACATCTTGGTCCAGAAAATAGATCAGTAAAGTGCTTATTTCAGTGGTGTGACCTTTTTCTTCCACCTGGCAGGTGAGTGGCAGTGTGCTCAGTGTGTACAGCGGTGATTTTGGGAGTGTGGATGCCCAGGGTACTGTGGAATTTGCACTAGACTATGATGAGAAGAATCGTGAGTTCCAGGTTCATGTGTCCCAGTGCAAGGACCTGGCTGTTGTGGATGAGAAGAAAGACAGAACTGACCCGTGAGTGATGTTTCACTTTGGTTCCTCACGACTTCTCTGCTGCTGAACTTTGTGTTCTGAAGAGCTTTCTCTTTTTTCTTATGAATTTTCTTGTAAAATGCCATCTTTTCTTCCTACCTCTAGACTTCTGGTGCATACTTACTGCTGGGTGTTTCCTAGCAGTAACCACTAACCTTCTTGATGGTTTTAGAGCCACTGACATCAGTAAATATGTTGCCACGGACATATATCTGAATAAGATTGAGAAAACCTTGCTCACTACAGGAACACTTTCTTTTATCACTGAAATATATTCTCTATGTAACCATATGAAACTTGGTCTCCCCATGGTGAATACACTTTAGTAATAACTCTGGTGATGTAGGCACATGTTTATATGGAAAGAAAGTCTGAAAAGAAGCACCATGGTAATTGTATGGAGGCTAGTAATCTTTGTTTTAAAAGATGATAAAAATAACCTTGAATATGAACTTTGAAAAGGAGAGATTTATACTCAGGCTTTTTGAGACATTCCACCTCTTCTAATTACACCCAGATTTTCAGTGCACAGATTTGCTATAGTTATGGGTACTTCAGAAAATTGATATATGTCCTTGCTGGCTTTCCATACTGCTTAGAGAACTGTGTGTTCTGTTCTGAAAGTTGGTGGCATCCATCCATCCCTAGTGAGATTTATAACTTCACGTGCAAGACAAGTTAATATCCCAGCAGGTTTCTCAATTAGTTCTGCCCTTAAAGAGTCAACTTGCTTCCATAAATTCCATGTCACCATCCAGAAGACTTGCTTGCTTGGCAATGCTGAATAGTATTCAGCTGTTGTTTTTGGTTTTGTTTTTCCAGGTACGTTAAAACTTACCTGCTCCCAGACAAAGCTAGAATGGGCAAGAGGAAAACCTCAGTGAAGAAAAGGACTGTGAATCCTGTTTACAATGAGGTGCTAAGGGTAAGAACACATACATGCTCTGAAAAACCTGTGTTGTAGCAGGCACCTATCCCTGGTCAGGTCTGGAAGGAGCCTATCTACTGGGCTCCTTCTCCTGTCTCCTACTGCACTGTTCTTCCTTTGGTTTCATGAAGGCAGAGATGTTGAAAGTTTTTCTGTATTCACTTGGGTGGCACCCAAGATTTCTGTGACAAAACTATACAGTGACCTTTGGAAGAAGAGACCTGTGAGCCTGTGCTGCTGTCAGAACAAGGAGGTATTCTTCCCTTCTCTGGCTTGTAGTTACAAGACATGGCACTGTTAAGAAAGGTCCTTATCCTGTGATCTTACTTATCAAAGCATGGAGGATTATTGAACAATGTCCAAGCCTGTGTTAATAATTCTTGAAAAAATATTGTTGTTTCTTGATGAAGAATGAAGCACTGAATTTCCCTGTGCTCAGCAGAAAAACATTGTCAGGCTCACGGTGGCTGACCGTTGGGCTGCAGCACAAAAAGAGATGTTCAGAATGGGGCCAGTTCTTTAGAGCATGTGTGGAGTAGGTTTAAGTGTCTTAGAGCTAATTCAAGTTTTTGAGTAGTATATTTCCAGCTGTGAGAAAAACTGGAGAAAAAACAAAAAAAGAGCAAACTGATTTCTATTTCTTCCTCTAGTATAAGATAGAGAAAATGGTATTGCTGATCCAAAAATTGAATCTCTCTGTTTGGCACAATGACCCACTGGGACGTAATAGTTTCTTGGGAGAGATCGAATTAGACTTGGCCAGCTGGGACTGGAGCAACCGAAAACTCAACTGGTATCCACTGAAGCCCCGGGTAAGTGCATCTCAGCTGCAATTCTGTTTCCCAGCCCAACCCCAAAGCCTTTAGGAATGGCAGAAATCCTTCTTGGCTGCTTGAGCCACGCACTGTTAACTCAGGGCTTTTCCTGCTGAGCCCCATCTGCCACGTCTTTGGCATAAGTGGGCATTTGGCTGGAAGCCAGCGGTCCCTGCAGCTGGGACTTGTATGCCCTAGCCAGAGGGAAGGGAAGACTCCTCAGAGATGTTTGGCTGGTGTGTAGAAGCCCAGATTGTGCCTAGGGAAGCACTGGAAACACCCACAAGCCCTAGACTTGTTAGCACAGTATTCAGCGCTCTGAACGCAGGCTTTCTTGGGTCTTACTTGGTGACACTTTCATAAATGTGATCTGACACTAATCAGCAGAAACTCTGACATGGCTGCCTCTCTCTCTTCTCACGTAAAAGACCATCCCTTAAAAACAGACACCGAAGTACCAGGTGATGCAGTTAGACATGCCTTGACAGGTAAATACTCAGGTGCCACGTTTTGTAAGACCGGTACAGCTTCCTGCCTGCTCCTGTGTTCAGAGGTCTGACCTAAGATCCCTTTTCATAAAACAAAGGCTTTCAGAAGAAAAGGTGATTTTGTCCAACTGGACATTTCTGGAAGGGCAACCTTGCTCTGAATCCTGAAGCGTTATGTTCCACGGGACTGAGTGTGAGAACAAAGTCACCAAGTAGCCCTGACTGTCCCAGCTGTAAGAAGCAGAGCTTGTCTATTTGTCCCCCTGTGTTTGAATCAAAAGCTGTTTGCCATGCTATGTTAAGCTCTTGTTTACTCGGTCATAACTCTTTCTATTTCAGAGTCTTTCTGCTGTTAACGGTGTGGATCATCGAGGAGTGATGAATTTGTCTATTAAGTATGTCCCTCCAGGAAGCCTAGGTAAAATGTATTTCATAAATTAAGAAGTATTGCCTGTATATTGGTGTGCAGCTTGTAATGCTTCATCGTTTTGTGGGCTGGTTAAAGAGTAATCTCATTAGAGGAAGATTGTAGAGATCAGCACAAAGGGACAACCACAGTGCTTGACAGCACCACCTGCAGATTACATCTGTTTTTCACATATTGGATTTACTGGGAAACTGTACAGAGAGGAAGGCCTCAACAAGCTTAAACTCGCCAGCTGTTATGGGCACTGTGGGGTGTTGTGATGCTGTAGCAGCAGCACACAGCTCCTCTTACTTGAGGGACAGGCAGAAGGTTGGGTTTCCCCAGTAGCTCCTTCTCCTTTCCTGCATCAATGCATCACTGGCAGGTTGTGTCAGGAGCCTCCTGCAACCGTGATCATGGTGCTGTGGTGCCCAACAGAGCACAGCTCCAGGGGAGTGGTGTGCAGAGAGGTCGTATCACTGCTCCCTCAGGTCCCTGGAGAGGAAGCTCATTGTCTTACCAGCTATTGCTGGGATGTCATGAGAGCTTTCTGTTGTACTAAATGGCAGGTCCCAAGAATCCTCCCTCTGGTGAAGTTCACATTTGGGTCAAAGATGTCAAGGACCTTCTGCAGTTGCGTCCTTCTGGAGTTGACTCCTTTGTGAAATGGTAAGTGCCCATTATTAAATATCCTCTTGGGCATCCAAACGATGGAATTAGAATCCATTTTTTAGTGTAAAATATCACTTTGGGGAAAAAAAAAATAAAAAGAAGAAAAAGAAGAAAAAATAAAGCCTTTTCCTAAAACAGGATCTGTTAAGCATCCTACCTTTCTAAGAATCTTTGCTTACAAAATTGATTTTCTAGGGAAAAGAAAGTTTACTCCAAGGATTATAAACATTCCCCATTGAATTTACACGGATTTCTTATGTTGAGACCCATTTACTCCTTATTTCAGATCTGAGGCCTGTTTAGGCCCAGAAAGTCTATAGAAGCTAATGAAACCCCATGTGATATTTTATACTACTTGCTGTATTTTTTTTCCTCTCAAAGCTATGTGCTTCCAGACACGAGTAAGAAGAGCTACCAAAAGACCCGAGTGGTAAAAAGAGACACAAACCCTGTTTTCAATCACACCATTGTGTATGATGGCTTTCATACAGAGGATTTGAAGGATGCTTGTGTTGAACTGACCGTGTGGGATCATGAAAAACTAACCAACCATTTCCTTGGAGGAATCAGGCTGGGCCTTGGGACAGGTAAGTGATTTTCTTTACATTAAATGAATGCCATTATACTGTTGCCGAGCCAAGTGGTATAATGGAAAGTTGCTGAGCATTTTGCTGTTAGGGAGAAACCAGATATGGAGAGTGTCTAGCTGTTAAGGAGCTTCATACTTGCACTGTGTCTGAGATGGAAGGAGCCCTGTTACTGTGATAGTAACCCTCTGTTCCTACATTTTCTGCCATATCAACTCACAGGTCTGGCAAAACTCAAGAATCAGTGGGGGTTCAGCAGAGAATTTTCCTGCTGTTGCAGGAAAACAGGCAGCATTGCAAATCAACATTATTTTGCTGTTCCTCCCAGTGCGAAATGCTCAGAGCTGAAGACAAAGAACTTGAATGCCATGTGGGACAGCACCACCTGGTGACTCTGTCCTCATCTCCTTCATTGAAATAATTCAGTAACAGGAATAGCTAATATTTGGAAATCAGAGCTTGATGTAGTAGTTGTTCTATCTCAGTCATTCCTGAGACAACATCAACAGTTTGGAAATTGAGCTTTTTAGGTGATTAAGGTATTATTTTTTAAATTACTTTTATTAGTTTAGATTATGAAGTGCTCAAAGAGCACAGCAGAGGTGCCACTTGCTGAACATCCTATCCTAACTTTCAGTGTACGCCATGCCTAGTTTTGACAGATAGAATGTTCATCTTTGTAGTTGGTAGGTAGGAGATGTAAGGATTTGTAAGCTAGCTATACTTACTGTTAAGCAATAGGGGTCTCTGAAAGATGAAAGACAAGCAGAAGATTTCAGGGTGGGGGATGTGATAAAAGGTGACTGTTCCTTGCGGGTATCAGGAAGAGCCTTATTGTAGGTCGAAGATCTGCCCCGCAGGTACTCATTTATTGGATACAGGTACACATACATTGGATCTGACTGTCTGATCTCTGTTTTCAATCTCTAACATGTCACCAAGAGAGCTGTGAACTAACCAGTGGGAAGCTCACATAAAAATATCAAACCCAGGATTAATTGTGATCCAAGTTTAGACTTTTATCTATTTGACAAGTAGTCGGCACATGAAAATTTGGTTGGAAAAACAGTTTGGAATTAATATACACACTTTTACACTATTGTATCTTTGATTCCTGTACAAATGAAGTTAGAGCAAAAGAATTTTAACAAATACCCATCCCTATTCACAACAAATCAGGGGGAATGCCAAACCTTGTAGACCTTCTTTACCACATCAAAAAAAGCAGTACTGGACTTGAGTCCAACCTGGTTTTCCTTGCTAGGTTATTTTTAGGATTCTTGTGTTTTGTGGCTTTTACACTGAATTCTGGTGTAAAATGGAGATGATTAGCAGAACAGGAGGTGATTACAATGCAACTTCCTGACAGGAACTCAGCACCTCTTAGGTTAAAGCCGTACCTGCAGCAGTTATATCTCAGTGAGTACTTTTTTGTATGGAGTGGAAGTTCCTTATGCAGCTCCCAACATTACCATCTCCTCGTTTTTCTTCAGGTTTGAGCTACGGCATCCCTGTGGACTGGATGGACTCAACACAAGAGGAGGTGGCCTTTTGGCAGGAGATGATGTCTGCTACCAATGAATGGATTGAGGGGTTGCTGCCACTACGCTCGTTGGCAGGGAGGAAAAAACTGAAATAACCAACTATATGTTCTAGAGCAGGGCTGAACGTGTTTGTTAGATATAAGAAGCTTCCTACCCCGAGGTGATAGAGACCGTGGGGCTGGCAATCGTAAGGTTAGTAAGGCAGTTCATGGTCAGCACTTTGGAGATGTTAAATGTTAACTATTTGTTCCCTGATGGAGGACCTGGAAAGTGCCAAACTGATGCTATACTTGATTTTGAACAAGAAGAAATGTTACCTTTTTATTTAATGAGTGTATTTGAATCCATTAAGCACTGGCAACATCAGCAGGAAAGAGGAAATCCAGATATTTATTTATTTTTTTACTCTTTCTTGTACTGTTGTTTGTTTTTTTTTAATCCATGCAGAGATGTAGTTGTACTGAAGCTTCGCTATGGTGTTACTCATATTTACCTGCAAGTGGTACACTTTGTACTTCATGTAGAATTGTTCCAAGTCACCAGGCAGCACAGTCTGAGAATGAGAGCTTTGCATTTGTCACTGGTGGCAACACATCTGTACCATGAAAGAAATTGAGATCCGGGGTGAATCTAAAGAAAGAGAGGACTGTTTGAAGCAGAAAATGAAGCAATCCAAGGACAATAACAACCAGGAATTCAGTATGTTAAATCCTTTCTGCTTTAATACAAAAGAGAAGAGAGATGGTCCTGCAGCTAGTAGGATTTTGTGATCAAGAGCTGCTTTCCTAGCTTTCCCACAGGCTTCCTCAGTGACCTCAGGCAAGTTACTCTATTAAAACACAGATTCAGTGCAATATAAATTGAAGTGCTTGCCTAACTGTAAAATAACATTACATTGCTAATGGACCTAATAGCATCTTTGAAATGCCTTGCGTGCAAAACATTTCAACATAAAATAATGATGTAGGGAACAGTCTCATGTTAGCCTGGCATGATGGGTCAGGAAAAATGGTCAGAACTGCAGTGGAACGCAGGAAATCCTGGGAGAGGTAAGCAGGGAGTGAACAAATGCCCAGGGAAGCTTGGCAGAGCTGAGACCTAGGGTGACCACCTGCCTCCATGTGTCCTGCTCCCCTCCTTGTCTGCCTCTCTCCTGATGCCTGTCAGGTAGTTGTTCAGAGCTGGAGCAACCTTCTTGCCAGTAATTGCAAGAGCTTTGTGTCTGGCACACGTTAACAGTGGTAGAGTGATGTTATGAATGCATTTTGAAATGTAGCTCTGTAATTTGGACTTTGGATGTACATATTGTGATTAAATAGAATGTTTTTCTTTAGTCATCAGCTGGTCTCCTTGTGCCTGTCTTTAGCATGGTCTGAGTAATGAAATCGCAAGCAAAAGAAGTGTTATATTTTATCATGTCAGAATGACCCTTTTTTTGCCCAAGGGTAAGTGAAATGTTGTGGAGAAATATATATATTTTTGTAGTTGTCCCACCTTAGATTTTGGTTCTGTGAATATTTTGATTTTCTTTAATGTGCTGATTTTATTTTTTAACTCAAACAGCACTAATATGCAGCTGAGCAAAACTGGTTCTAAATAAATGAAAGAAAACTTTTATGATTAAAATAACAAGAGTTTTTCATGAAATGAGGACATCTGGAGATAATCAACAGCTGTCATGGCAAACAACAAAGATTATGTTTTTGCAATTGGAGGAAGATAATACTTGAAAATGTATCAGTTATGGTACTGAAAGCACGAAGAGAAAGTCCATAGGGCAGCAGAATTAATTAATGACTAACCTAATGAAGGACTTGATCTATATAGCATGTCAACCCAAAGGCACTTTATATGGGTTCTAGCCTGGCGTCACTTGTTCACCAACGTTTGCTCTTTTAGTACCTCCATGGGATAAAATAGCAACGTGCAAATATTTATGCATACATCTAAGATAACTTCCACAAAGAGGCCTGCTTCTTGGTGGCTGGTTGCAATGAGTTACCTGCAGGGCTGCTGCTCTCACCTCAAATGTTTCCTTATCCCACAGTGTTCCTCCCAGGGGGATTTCTGCTGTACCTGCAGGTGTGGATGGTGCTGCAGGAGCCTTCAGCCCAGGCAGCCCAGCTCTTCCTCCAGAGGGTTTGTCTGACTGCTTTCCATGGCGAGCACAGAGCCATCCCTCCTGTTCCTCCTCACGTCCAGAGCCTGGGACGAGCACTGCTGTTACACAACTAGAGCTGGAAGTGTTTGTTTGGTCTTTCAATGGTCAAATTAATGTCTTTTTCACCAGTGGTGCCAATAAGGGGGATAAAGGGTGGCAGTGGCCCAGCTTCATGCCGGAGTGGTGGCTGCTATGGACTTGGCCCAGGATTTTGTGAGCAGGCTGTTTCTGTATTCAGACTTCTTTGAGGATTTTTGTTAATCTTTCAGTAGCTTGTTTATTTAAATTAAGCCCTGATTAACTTAAGGAGCTTTCTTTGGCATTTAATGGTTTATCAGAGTAAAAGATTACGCTGCCAAACCACATATGCATTTGCAACACAGCTGTATGTGAGGCAGTAAAATTTGCCATGTCTTATCTGTTTCACTTACTATGCAGAAAGCACTTTATCTGGGGGAAAAAACCCCACAAAACTAAAGCACTTTTATTGTCAATGACACATGGAGGAGTGGAGGAGCTTGTGAGTATAAGGTTAATGCCTGTTTGCCTGTGGCTTACGATGCTGACATTTGTTGTCTGTGCCTGCTACATATGTAAACTCAGGGCCATAGGCTTATGATAACGTGAGTTTAATAGTAATTGATAAAAAAAAAAGTTGAAATATTTCTGACTGTATTTACTAGCTCATTGTAGAGCGGGTTAAGCAGAGTTCTATAAAAAGATAGATGAAAGTATAAGACTCAATGCATGTAGTAAATGTGTTTTAAAACTCATTGCTATGACTACAAGCAGGCAAGTACCAGTGCTGCATGTTCCAGCAGGATCTGTGCCCATGCAGCTCATGGGGCTGAGTCCTGTGCTCACTGATCCTTGCTGGGTGCAGAGGTAACCCCAGGGGCTGGGCAGGCTGATGTGTTGCAGGGTGGTACCTTCAGGCACAACCTGCATAAAATAAAAGAAAAATATCAGTGTCTGCAATTGAGCTGGGCAGCTACTTTCTATGAATGGTCTGCATTTGAGAGTAAATGTGCTTCTTTTGAGTTTATGCCTTATCTATGTAACTTTTTCTTTGAAATCTTGCAAGAAGAGAAGAGAAGGCAAGATTCTGAAAAGCATTTCTTCCTCTTCATGCACATCTAATCTGTGGCCTGTATGTATTCAAAACTTTCATGCCACAGGTATCAAACTATCAAAAATAATTTGGAAACTAACTAAAGAAAAAAATAACTGCTGAATCTTGAACAACATCCAGCCAATGAGTGTCTTAGAGGAGATGGAAAACAAGTGGTTGAGTTAATTATCCATTACTAATATTTGCTCAGCTCTATCCTTCACAAAGACAGGGGAAAAAAATGAAATACTGTGATGATTCAGGGAGTAAATTATACTGCCTGAATAAACCCATGTAGTAACATCTATTTAAATGAGATTTACTGTATTTTTGAAGGCTTGTCAAATTGACTCAAAAATTTATCAAATAGAAAACCCGAATAAAGAATCACACTTCCATTCCTGGTAACTGAGAGTGTGTGTATTCAGCACAAAGTCGGTTGGTTAGTATGTATTATTTGGCCATTTTGTACTTGTATGGCTTCCATAGATTAATATTTTTTTTATTCAGCTGCCTGTTTTCCACCCGTCGGGTGTCGTCATGGTTGTCTGCTGTTATTGTTCCAACAGATGCCTGGGAGAAGTCCCTCGCTGTGTTGCCACAGAGGTTGTCAGAAGACATTGGGATTGCAAGGATGCCGTAAGGTATGTGTTACTGGAGCTGCTCACTCAGCAGCACTGCTCTGCACAAGATATTACTGATGCGTAGAAATCTCCCAGAATAGAGATCTCTTCCCATGGGATCAGCCTGGAGGATCAGCCACTTGTCTCTAAGGAGTGTGCTCTATGTAGAGGCATCTTGTACCTGCAGCTCTGCCGTGAGGAACAGGGTATCATCGAGGGGCTGGCTGAAGTCCCTGGGGCCACGAGGGCGCTCTGAGTGTGGTTTGGTATTGCAGGGCAGCTCTTGGTCTGCAGTGAGCAGGAGAGGGCACATATGTGATGAGGGTCAAGCAAAAGTGGGTGGCTTAGGGGAGGCTTTTCCCACTTTTGGAGTGCTTATCAGCTTCTCCCACCCTTCTGAATGTGCCAGTGTTTGGAGGGTGCTGGATCAGTTCAGAGCAGCACAAAACTGAGCGCCAGCCTCCAGGAGGGCTGTGGAGAGAACTCACTGTTAATGGTTTTCTTCTGAGGGAGGCATAAGCATGGTGGAGAGCTGGAAACGTCTCACCCAGGAGGCCTGGAGGATGTCGGCAACCCTACACCAAGCTCCCTTTTATTTTACATTAATTTTCCATTCATTTGGGCTGAAATTCCTCATGTCTGATAGCAAAATGTGAATGAAGCTAGGTGAAGCTGTCAGCAGGCAGCGGCATCCTAGGAAGAGTGGGAGCAGAGGCCCAGCCTGCAAGGTTTGCTGGTCATACCAGGTTGGTGCTGGAGTGTTCTGGGTTGCAGTCCTGCTGTGAACAGCCTGCTGGTGGCGGCTCATTCATTTCCTTGCAAACCACTTAAGCAGGTGTTTGCTTAAGCACAAAGATGCTTGCATTTTGCTTTGCATTCTGTAACATCTTATTGTACTTGTCTTTGGGCTGTGCACCTAAGTCTGCTACAGCAGCCCTGCTTTGTTGGATTGTCCTAGGAGGAAAGGAGGGAGACCTGAGGATGACAGCAGTTCTGCTGCTTAGCTTCCAGATTTTTTTCCAGGGCTGCATTAAGGATTAGGAATTACTTGGTGCTCTGTATTACATGAAGCGCAAAACATACAGTGCCATGCAACCAGTCCCACTGCCTGCAGCCTGAAGACCCCCACAATTAGCTTACAGCAAGAACTACAGTTTCTGATAAAGGCTTGTGTTTAGAGGCATAGAACAAAGTGAACAGAAGTATATTTTGTTTTTTCTTGCTCTGCAAACCTGCCTGTGCTGCGATAGACTATAAACATGAGATGCTACTGATAGCAGCAGAAAACAGATTTCATGCATCCAGCAACCTTTAATGCCATCCTTCTGGCTTGCAAACAGTCCAAAGCAGCTCTTGAGCTGCAAGCTCAAGTTCTGGGCTCAGAGGGGAAGCTTAGGAGCTGCTTTCTGGCAGTGTAAGTAGTTCAGACACCTACTCTGTAGGAAGAAAAATCACAATAACCTCTTCTCTCCTCCTCTCTCTCCCACTCACCATTACTAATTTATCCTGATTGTAATGGCTTCTATTTGCTCTAAGCAGATCCTGTTCCCTTCCTAAGAAAACCTGAACAGCTACAGGGACATAATATTCCCAGTGGAGGATCTGTTCTTAGGTTCAGGCAGACTCGGGCAGACGTAATGATGGGAGCCCCCCTTTTCCAATCAGCCAACCCACGGCCATTTTAATGTGATTGTAATCTGAGATAAGACACCTGGTGCTGCATCGGGAGAAACCCATCCCATGGTATTGAGCTGTCTTTTAATTTATTGTCACAGGGAAACGTTTTGCAAATATTTTACGTCTCTGCAGGAACCCAGCCACCACTCTTTGCACAAGCTGGTGTGGCTGGAGGCCATCCCATGTGTGTGCTGTGTGGCACCAGAGCAGCCCTCCCACTTGCAGGGGTGCAGGAACAAGCTTATCCTCTGTGTACTCCCACCCATGGGGTTCAGATTTTCATTTCCCTGTCCATTCCGGTTGTAGAACAAATGCTAACACTGCCCTGGAGCACTGCTAGTGACCTCTCTGGTTACTTCTGAGTGATGGTCTGTTTCAGCCTGTGCCTGCTCTGCTGCTTCTGATGTGATCCCAGTGTGACACCGGGGGACCTCTGCAAGGTGCCACCTTGTAGCCCCAGCCAGAACCCAGGGTGGGACAGAAGCTTCCCCACGTGTCTCCTGGTGGTCAGCCCTGCCTCTGCTTTCCCCAGGCTACTGCTGTTGGAGTTAGGGCTGTCACTTTGTCACAAAGTCCTAAATCACACTCCCAGTGCTTGCTGTCAACATGGCTGTCAGTTCCTAAGCACCACGTGGTACCCTTGGCTTTACACTCATGTGCACTGCCCTGACTAACTGTGAGCATCATGTAAATAATAAACATTAAATCACTCAGTGCCTCCCCTCTGCCCTCAATTTACAGAGGTGTGCAGCAGCCAGCAGGTCAGGAGGGCAACATGTCACTGCCAATATGGCTCAATATCTCAGTGTCACACCTCCTAGGCATGCCTAATTTAACAAGGATGCTTTTTAACAGAGAACTAGCTAATCACGCTTGCTACCTGTGGTGGGCCAGCCCCCTTCTCATCTCCCATCACCCCAGTGTGTGGCCATGACTCTTCTGGAAGCTCCCAGTCTGACCAGTTTGGTGGTACGCACTTCTATGGTTCCCTTGGGCTGGTCGCTGCATTGTGGCCAGGTGACACAACCCCGAGGGCTAGGGGACATCTGGCTGTGGGTTTGGGCATGTGTGAAATGGGTGCCAGGATGGGTGCCAGCAGGGCTGTACTGTGAGGGGTAGCACACAGTCATTTTTGTAGTCCTGGAAACCAAAAGGACACTAAAATTGTATGGTGTAGTGGAAATGCTGTCATAGCCTGAAATGGTGATTGAGCACCTGGTGGGAAGGCAGGGCCAACCCGAGGGAGCTCAGGTCCATGCAGTGCACCTGAGTGATCAGAAGGGGTGGAGCCAGGATCAACCCCTTTCCCAGACCTCATTTAAGGGTTGGCAGGGGAGGTGAGAGTATCTCACTGGAGATCCCTGCCTCCCAGAGGAATTCCAAAGGTAAGCATCCATGATTCCATTCACTGTATCTGTGGCTGCTGCCTTTTGGCTTGTTCTCATTTGCTGTAGCCTAAGGTTGTGCCACCCTGCTACTATTGCTGTCCTTTCCATTACATGTTGTGCATGCAGTGCTGAGGCACTCTGCTCCTTCTAGCGTTGCCATGGCCTGGAGACAGCTCCAACCTATGGCTGGCAGCCAAGGGATGCAGAGGGAGGAGTTCTGGAGGAAGACTGAAGTGTAAGTGAAGAGTGAAATGTTTGGAGGTAGGAGCTGTGAGTGGTGCTGTGGGAGGATCTGGTTTGAACCATCCAGCCTGGTTTAGCTGTCTCTTGGTGCTCCTGCCCGTGACACAGGGCTACAGTGAGCCGGGCACCCAGCAGGAACCTGGTCTAGCCACCAAACCTGCTTCTGCATCAACTCCAGGTTACTCTCAGACACCAGATTTTCCATTTCTGCAACGGTACCAGCACAAAGGCTCCCCCAGGACTCCATTTTCTCCTACCTTCTCAGTTATTATCTCAATTAATATGATGGACACCCAGTCACACAGCATGCATCCACCTATACGGGTGTGTTAGAGGGGATGAAAACACTGCACCCAGACCTGCAACAGAGGGAGTGGTGAGGCTGAGGGTGAGGAGCGAGGCAGGGCTCAGAGAAACCAAAGTTGTTGTGGGCTGAGATTCATGGGCATCACATATCAGAAACGACACGGCTCAGCTCCACACAGCAGTGCCGGCTGTGAGTCACTGGTAACGTTCTGGTAACTCAGATTTATAGGTTTAATATTTGTCTGTGGCTGTGTAGATTGCTTCATCGGTTTTCTTCCCCGTCCCGAGGTACTGTAAAATAGGATCTTTGAGTTTGTTGGTTTTTAATAAATGTGCTCCATTTCAAAGGATATTGAAAACTTTCCCTGCCGTTTGTTACTGAGGCACGAGCTGTGCCGTCCTGTCCTGTTTGCAGGCTGGTTACCCAGCTGGTGCTGAGGGTCGGCTGAACGTCACTGTCACCGTGAGCGCACGGATCTCAGCGGTGCTCATGCAGCCTCTTTGTAAACTTAAAAAAAAAAAAAAAAAACTTTTTAAAATTTGACAACAGGCTCTTTAGCCAAGTTGTTTTTAAGAATTCAGCGATCCTTTTCCCGTCAGCCAAGCCCTGCTCAGCGGGTGCCGACCAAGCCGAAGCTCGGGCACCCGCTGCCCGCTTTGCTCTGCGCGGACTGCGGCGCGGGCACGGCCTGCGCGGCCCGGGGAGAGCGAGAAAAGACGGAGCTGCCGGGCTGGCGGCCAGCAGCCTCAGCCCCGCGCCGTCCTCCCCCGGGCTCTCCCCGCGCGCCCCCCGCCCTCCCTCGGTCCCGCCCCGCCCCGCCCCGCTCGGCTCCGGCGGCGGTTCGGGGGTGGCGGCTCCTCCCGGCAGTGCGGTAGAGCGCGGCCGCCATTGCATCGCGGCTCGGCCGGGCCTCCGCCCGCGGCCCGGGAGGACGGGGGGCGGCGCGGCCACCCGCGGGCGGCTCCGAGGCGGACGGAGCGCGGCCGGCCCCGCGCCGAGCGGCGCTGAGCGCTGCCCCCTGCGGGCCGGGCATGGGCGGGCGCTGAGCGGGCGGCATGGAGGCCATCTGGCTCTACCAGTTCCGCCTCATCGTCATCGGCGACTCCACCGTGGGCAAGTCCTGCCTCATCCGCCGCTTCACCGAGGGCCGCTTCGCGCAGATCTCCGACCCCACGGTGGGCGTGGATTTCTTCTCCAGGCTGGTGGAGATCGAGCCGGGCAAGAGGATCAAGCTGCAGATCTGGGACACGGCGGGGCAGGAGCGGTTCCGGTAGGGCTGCGGGCACAAAGGGCGGCCGCCGGGCCGTTTGTTTACGCCCGTGCGGTTGTGCGGGGCCGGACCGGGGCGCGGCCCGCGGGCTGAGGATGCGGGGCTGAGGATGCGGGGCTCCGGCGGCGCGCGGGGCGATGCGGGACGCGGGTCTGCAGCTGCGCCCGCAGGGCAGGGCGATGCGGGGCTCCGGTTTGGGGGCGGGGTTGTGAGAGCGGGCCCCCGGCCCCGGCTGATTGCGATCCCGTTTTCCGCCCGTCTTTGACCCGCTTTCCTCCTGCTCCCTCCGGAAGCGCTTTCCTTTCTCTGCGTCTCCGCACGGCGTCGCGGAGCCGCGCTGCCGTAACGCTTCCATTCACACATCGATGAACGCTTCTCCCCCCCGCTCCCCCCCGCCTCCCTTCCCGGCCGTAGCGCTGACCCCAGGCCCGCGTGGCCGCACTCGGTCCTTGCACGCGGACGGGCTTTTTGCCGAGGCCGGGAGCCGCCGCTTCATTCCGCGGCTCGGAGACGAGGCACCGGAGCGCTCGGTTGCGTCAGATTCCAAAGCGCGGCTGTGTGCGATCCCGCGCTGGCACCGCTGTGTGAGGAGGGGAAGCTGTCGGACGCCTCTGGTTTCCCATCTTTAAAATGGGGGGGAAATCCGGGGCCCCCGGGGCTGCTTGCCTTTCTGCCTGAACCTGCATGTAGACGCGGTGACGGGCGACCTTCAGCACAAGGGCAGCGGCAGCAGTGCGAGGGGCGGGAGGGTCGCTGGCATAGGAACACGTCCTGCCACTTGGCACTGGCCTTGCCCAAGTGCGGACTCCTATTCCCAATAGGAAAAGGTAGAGGGAAGCAAGCGAGCCCGGCTGCCTTTATGGTGGTACTGTCTGCTGTGACGAAAGTCTGTTGTGCATTTATCCCTGTCAAATCCCAGTTAACCCTGTGATGTGTTGTGCCCCATGAACCAGCAGCTCCTAGGCTTCCCCTGCAGGCTGTTCTTGGTAAAAGGCAAAATACTGCTAGCGCTGGGGGAAGCTGAAGTTGTGGGTGCAGGCAAGAAGCACAGCAGTGCACGTGCTCTGCAGAACCATTGCACTTGTTTGTCACAGTGCAAGGAATTTCTTAACAAGGAATTTCTTAGGAAGGAACTCCGGTATTTCATGCAGTTCTCCGTTTTGAGCATTTGCAGCTGCTTTGCAGTTAAGTTAACAGCTGTCCCACGAGGAGGAAAGCATTGCCATTGCCTTGAAAACGCTGTGATGGTATCTGCTGGTCTGCATCTGTGCTGCAGTTTTGCTCTTCCTGACTGTTGTTGTGAGTTGTCTCCCTCTCCATCAATGGGAAGCTATTCCTGTGCAGTCAGGGCTTAAACTACAGTTAAGCACGTGCCTCTGTTTTGTCATCTCAGCCCCAAAATGGTGCTCTTTGGGTCAGCGTTGAGGCTGTTTTGGAGTTGTAGAACAGTGGGGTTCCGTTCTTCCTGGATCCAGCAGGTTGTGCCCTTCTCAGGTTGCTCAAATACTCCAGTTTCTTGCCTGAAACGTGACGTCGTGTAATGCTAACAAAAGCAAAAGTGTGTGCAGCCCTCCCTGGCTGGGAATGTGTGCCAGCACCTACAGAAGAGCTGTTCCCTTCCAGTGAGAGGTGGGCGGTGAGGACCCCAGGGAGGGGGAGAGGTCCTGCACAGAGGTGGTGCCTTTGTGTTCAAACTTGGTCAGAGTGGGTGTGAGTCGCAGCACTCACTGCTCTGCTGTGGTGAGGGGAGGGACATGAAGAGCTGGGCAGGGATCTCGTGGGGAATTGGGCAGCGAGGCGCAGAGTGAAGGCAGCGTAGCATGCTTCCTGCAGATCAGGAAGGAGATGTCTGTGAAAAGGCACCCAGACCTTCACCTGGTTTTGCCTCAGCGCAGCGCTCTGTTCGGATCCTGTCATGTCTCTCAGAAGTACCTGAGGCACTGCTGATGCTGGCAGGAGCAGCCAGGGCAAGTGTGCTGGCATGCAGGAGAAGCAGAAGTGCCTGTGACAGCACGGGGGTGAATTCAGAGTGCCAGTGTCTGCCTGCAGCTGGCCAGAGAGCAAACGGCAGAGCTGACTCCCTTGTTCCCAAATGTGCAGAGCTGTTCTTGTCCCTGGGCCAGATAACTCGAGAGGAAAAGTTAGCCAAGCCAACTCTTTTTTTTTTTTTCCTTCCTTCCTTCCTTTTTTTTTTTTTTTTTTTTTTTTTTTTCCCCCTGTTCTGGCTTTCTTCAGTTGGATTCTCACCTATCTTTGCATGACTTTTGATACAGCAAATCTTGAGAATGCCAGTGAATCATTTCTGGGGGTAGCTCTGCAGGATCAGCACACTGCAGGGCAGAATAACCTCTAACAACAGACTTGCATGGTGGTGGAAGAGTTGTCCCAAGGTAGAAATAGTGGTGCTTATATTTTCCCAGAAGAAGTTCAGGCCCCTGTGTAAGTTCCTCCAGGGACTGAAATCGATGAGTGCTTCTGGATTTAGAACTAATCCATGACTTTGCAGAAACAGTACAGTTTTACAGCTTCTTGTTTTTTCCATATGTAGTAGCTGTTGGACTGTAGCTCTGCTCAGCTTTGTGTTCTCTGTAGACCTTTGTTGGCTCATTTCATGTGCTGCTCTAGGCTGCCTCAGACTGTGGAGAATGCCTTCCATTTCTCAACCTGAGGGTCTGTGGGACCTTTTGGGGTCTTTGTAGACCTGGTGGCCTCCCTCTGCCTTTTATGTATCCGCCAGGAGGTGTTTGGCTCTAGATAAATCCTTTAAGCTGTTACAATGCTTCTAAACAGTGGGGCAGCCAAACCAGTTCACAGTACTGGCTTGGTGTGGTGGGGGCTCATTAGACTAATGGCAAAGAGAAATCTGATAGAGAAGCCAGAAATGGTGGTGGAGTTATAGCAAATCCATGAGGCAGTTACCCAGGGATGAAGTTTTAAGCCAAGATTAGTTGTCTTTGTGAATGACAAGATGTGCAGAGCACAAGTCAAAGCAGTGAGATGTGACTGAGTGGTGTCCTCTGTCCTGTATTCTGCAGGA